TCGTCTCTCTCTCTCTCTTCTTCTCTCTCTCTCTCTCTCTCTTCTCTCTCTCTCTCTCTCTCTCTCTCTATCTCTCTCTCTGTACCTTCTCGATGTTAGCTCCTCTATGAGTTTGGTCGTTGATGTTTTACTTCTCCCCGCGGCCACGGCATAAAACAGACATATCAAATGTCTTGCAGGCAGGTTTCACGCCATACCGCCTGCGCCGCGCAGAGGATGTCATGCATTACCCCAGACAGACAGAACGGGGACGGAACGAGCTGACTTGACACGTCACGGATGAATGACAGCTTGCGATCCTCGCCCCACTCAAGGATGAGTTCCCGGGCATTGAGCTGGGCAGCGTGGACGGGTTCCAGGGGCGCGAAAAGGAAGCCGTCATCGTCAGCCTCGTCCGGAGCAACCCGGACGGAGAAGTCGGCTTCCTGGGCGAGAAGCGCCGGCTGAATGGTGAGTGGTTGTTTCAGCATTCTTGTGACACCGGGGCGTTGGGTCCGCCCCCGGGATCGGCGGGCTGAATGGCTACTTATGATAAGCATGGACATGTCTTGTTAATGCGGATGTGCAGTGGCCATGACGCGCCCAAAGCGCTCGTTGACAGTCATCGGAGACTCGGAGACCGTCAAGAAGTGAGTGTTGTCCCAAAGTGTTAATATACGCCCCACCCCTCCCCCCCCTTTTTTTTGTTGTGTGTGTGTGTCACGGTTGGCTGACAAGCACCTGAAGGGGCAGCAAGTTCCTCAAGAACTGGATGGAGTTCCTTGAGGAAAATGCCGACCTCCGGTATCCGGACCTGGCATCGCTCAACAAGTAAGACTGATCGTCAGGAGCGACGCGGCGCGACGAGGGGGGAACACACATATGGGTGTTGTGTGTTGGTATGCTGCAGCGGATGCTGGGACACACAACAGCTTCAGAAACAAGAGCCGAACCAGACAACAAACCATCAAGGTAAAAAAAGAGACGAGACAAGCCGAGACCGCAGCGAACCAAACCAGCACCAGCTAACAAATACATACTACATCCGGGCCGAATATTCGGGGAAGGTAGCTGTCGAAATCCGCTAGAAAGCTTCCATGCCCATCGCGCGATCGGATTCCGTTGGTGCTGAGTATTTGGTTGCGAGATGTGCTCGGAGATATTAGCTCCTAGGCCCAGTACCACGTCAGATCAGATCGCTGATTCGACGGGCCGGACATGTCGGGGTGTCGGAGGGTTGGCGATAAGCCGATGCGCTCCGTGGCCGACCGCACAGGCTCTGAACTGCAGTTCGTAGCGCTGGGGAAACAGCATTGTGGCATGACAACAGCGTGGCAAGTAGCAACGGACGATGAGATCGCTTCGCAGCCTCTCGTGTTGGTGCCACGCGCAAAAAAAAAAAAAATGCTAGTGTAGTGGCTGTAATTCGTAAACAAACGTGGGGGAATAGTGGTAGTCGCTTGCAAAGATGGCGTGAGGCACACAGGGCATCTTCTTGAAACAGCAGTGGTTCCACCTCACCGGGCACAGATAAGAGAGGAGAGTCGTGATCTTTTTGGGAGAATGATGTTGTGGTGATCTTGGTGGAGCTTGATTGCCAGGACCCTTGTCGATAAACTGCAACGCCCCCAGTCTCGAGACGATCGTGACCGACCGTTTACCGTTGGAATTTGAAAAAAAATAAAAAAGGTGTGGAGTTCGGACGACGACAGGGTTTGGCGAGCCCTCTCGCGCTGTTGGCCTGCTGCTGGGTTTCAGACCCCTGTAATGTGGAGACGCTGGATATCGAACCCAAAAGGCCCGCCAAGAAAACTCTTCTTCAGTCGTTCCTTTCGAATGGATGCGACCCCGTGACGGAAACTCAGGGTACGTAACAATTCATCAATCAGTTTCGCTGTTTGTGGATCGTAACCCGCGTATCTTGTTGCTGTTGTGCCCGTTGTGTGTCCCCCGTGATGCCGTGATGCCATGGCGTTCGCCTACATCACTTCTGTTTCCAAAAGACAAAAACAAGCTCCTTCTTCTTTCTTAGACGAGGCTGGCGTTGCTCCCTCCGTCTTATATCCCGCATCCATCCATGATCCCAGTTTAGTCTCATCAGTCTCATCGGTTGTGCAACGGTCGGCCAGCTGCATCACCCGTTTGTTCGATGGGAAAAAAAGCAAAAAGAGCAATCTATCTATCGCCGGGAGGGCCGGCCGTCGTCGCCGCCGCCACCACCACCGCTCGCGAGGGACTTTTTTGCGGGCATTCCATGGATGGATGCTGGATGTCTTGCAGCACGTTCGCCCGCTTCGCTCCTTTCGTTCGTTCGTCTATCCCCAGTTTCCAGTATGGCTGGCCCGACGCAGCCTCCGGGATTTGGTTGGCCCGCCCGCTCTCTGCGAGCCTCCGAGAGCCTGCATATGCAGCAATGGTAGACAGACATTCAAGGCTTCGCGTATTAGCGACGCGATGGAAGCGGCACATTCATCCATCCTTTCTTGTTGAGCATCAGTAGCTTCAAATATAGTGTCAATAGATCGACGCCTAATGCGTAGTGCTAGCATGCGCATTTAAACATTTATCATTCCTCAAAAAGCACGTCTTAAGACGCAGGCCCCTGGAGATAAGATTTGCGCGGGTTGTGCGGGTTCATGGTGGCGCGCAGATCAAACCAAGGGCGCTGTCCGGACTCAGGGTTCATCGGAGGATTCGTTGGTCCGTCATCGGTGGACATTGAGGTGAGGGTTGCGGATGTGCTGCGATCAATGGCATGGTGCCTTCTTCGATCTCGATCTCCTCGTCGCTTTGGGCCAAAGTTTCCCCTTGTCAAGTGGTGGGCTCTGATGGATCCTGGTGGGGTTTGATAGCGGGGCGATATGGGGCCCAGCACAACGCTCACTTTGCCCTCCCCCCTTGCCAAGTAATCACCGGAATCGAGGCTTCCTTTCTTCCAGAAACTGTCTTGAGCAGTTCAACCGGGAAGCCACGTCGGGAAAGGGTTTGGTTCCTCAGGCTTCTCATTATTTTTTTTTGGGGGGGGAACGATTTGTACCTGATTCAGGGTTTATGCGGTGCACAGCACTGCATTTTGACTGCAAAAGTTCTGATGCTTTATGCCTGTTCTCTCAGAGAGCGATTACACAACAGCACGATCAAAACAAACGACAACAGAACAAAAAAGCAGCAGCGTGCCCAGCCGCGAGCCTTGCGCAAGCTCTCGGACCAGGCCTGCCCCGGGTTTGTTACCAAAAGAGGCTAATTCTCAGCAGGGCAGCCACGCGTGCCTTGGGGTTTTGCGACCCTGGCCGGCGTGGCAAGCCTCGATTTGGATTGCCCTGTGTGCCTGAGTAAGTCCCATGTCGAGTGGCTGATGGCTGCGAACCCCGCGACGGCGATGGGGTTGGGGTTGATGGAGAGGGCAACACCCGGATCCCCGGCACAGCATTGTCCCTCCTCCCCTCCCAACCCCCCCCCCTTCAAGTCGATAATTAGCATGAAGATGGCTGAACGGGGGCATCATTCAAGAATTTGGCATGATGGAATTTGCATAGACTTGAAATGGGATGCATTTTACACTCAAACTCAAGTATGGATCAACGATGGCGTAAAATTATGACAGCCCGGCGCAGCAGTGCCCAGGTGTGCATATCAGCAGCGCTCGACATCGCGATCGGCCTGGCCTTTCGGCAAGGCTTTCCGTCGTCCCCTGTCTGGACGTGGGCCTGCTGCAGACCCCCTGAACAGCGCTCGGACGGCGAGCAAGCCAGCAATGCCAGCAGCGACGGTTTCTGATTCCTCGCTCGGCGCAAAAACACGAGGACCTGGAGTCAAAAGCAGCCCAGGCCAAGCAGAAAGCAGAAATCGCTTGTGTACAGCCAACAGCAGAGCGCGCTGAAGTCAGCTCGATAGGCGCGGCTATGCTTGCGATGCGTGAGCCTAGTGTACCTAAGTAATGTAGTAAGACTTAAGTAAAACTAGCGCCCACACTCTCTTCGACTTCAGCATTCCAGGGATTTCAAGCAGGCCAAGGACACCACACATCGACGCTGTCGACGCCATCAAGTGACCCAGGAAGGCAGTCCAGCACCCCCTTCCCCACCTTTTGAGTAATCCTCTGGAACCCTAGAACCTGGACCTGACGCACCCCTCTCATACTCAATCATCCCCATCATCCCGTCATCCCCCGTCATCTCCTCCCCGGCTCCCCATCACCGTCACATCTGGCCCGCCTATCCTTGCACCTGCATCGCCGTCTGGTCGCTTGGCTCCTGCTGCTTTTGCTGCTTTTGCTGTTTTTGCCCTCACCATCGCCATCCCTCGCCTTCACCGTCGCTACAGGACCGAGATCAATATACATAGCTATTGGGCGCTGCTTTTCTTGTCGCGCAACGCTCCCTCCCTCCCTTCTGCCCATCCTGCCCTCACCTACCCACCCTATTTTGGCCTTCACTTCGTGCTTAGTGCTACCGGCCTGCATTCGTGAGCGGCAGCTTCGTTGTCCATCTCCAGCATCCAAGCATCCTAGTCGCGGCTCGCAGAGCGCAGTTGTCCTCTCTGTCCTATCGCACAGCCTGATGCCGATGCTGCAGGTCAGCGCTCTCCGAGTCTCCGACTCTTCGCGGTAGCTGCTGAATCGCCTGTCCACTTCCACTCGTTGTCCGAGGCTCACCCCGAGTCGATTCCATTCTTTACACCGCTTTTGCTTCACACTGCCCCTCTTACATAGGCTTTGTTTTTTTTTTTTTGTTTGTCCTTCCATCCCTCCCATTCTTCCATCCTTCTATCGGTCATCGGTGCCCAGCCCACACTGAACCCAGATCCACGTTGTGCTATGTTCCGCGTCGCCGGCATATCCTCGACGCCAGCTGCGATCTGCCGAAGCCAACAGCACGTTCGCCTGACTGGTTGGACGGCACCAATAACAACTCCACGAAAGCCTGCCGTCGTCAAGGGGAAGGCAAACCAGGCATAGCGCATACGACAGACATATACTTTGTAGGAGGTCAGGGATCATCCACGTACCCGCGCAACTCCAGAAACACAAACCACGACTCGCTGTTCTTCTGTTCCCCAGATGGCCCGGGGTGGACAACAGCAGCCTTATCAGTCGCCTCTGCCCGTTCTTCTTCCACTCCGACTTTGACTTCGATCCTCTCTCTAATCCCTTTCTGGGGAATCTGGTTGCTTATTACTCGCCTGCGGCCATCTTTCGTAGCGATCCAGCGATCCACTGATCCACCATGCCGAGCCTGTTCGGAAAGTCGGGATCCACTCTTGGCCGTGCCAAGTCCCGACACAAGTCCATACGGGGTACTATCTCCGCTCCGATCCCGATCCCCACGTCTCCGGTCGGCGGTGATTTCCCCTTCCAGAACCGCATGTCTATCAAGACGACCGTGACTGCCGATGATGACTTGCTCACGAGGAGACCCGGAACTGGCGCCACACCGCCCGGTCCTGTAAACGATGGTCCCAAGCCTGATGAGCCGTCCGTTCAGTCTGATCTACACCGGTCGGAAGATCTACCTGCCCCGCGGACGAGAGATGGCTCTGCTTCCTCGGGCGGTGTCTCAGCCAGCCGCTCGAATGCACCGGATGAGAAACCGTCCACGCCGCCACAACCTCTCGGGGCTGGAGAAGCACTTCAGCGCACTCCATCCCGGTCGCCGTCTCGTAAATCGCTACAGAGGAGGACATCTCCAGCTAGAACATCGCCATCTGGAGTTTCGGCCCCGGCTGGGAGAGCTACAAACCCAGCGCTTAGCAGTACCGTCCGGTACTCTGTCATCAGCGACACCCCGAGCAAACAGACGACACAGGGTACTCCTGTTCGAAAGAAGTCTACGTTCCGGTCTGCACTGGAGAAGATCTTTGGCAGGGGCAGGAAGAAGAGCAATGAAATGGATCCTACGCCACCGAACTTGACACAGCATGCACAGCATGCACAGCATCGCAGCGTAAGTCATGATCTGGGTCCTGAAGGCTACAAGACGACTGACAGCCTTCAGGATCCCTCTGCTCTGGTCAGACCGGCCGCGCCATCCCCTAAGCGCTCGGCCTCGGCTCCTATCAGCGAGTATGACCGGCCTTTGCGGTCACACTCTATCGGGCCCGAGGATATCATGATGATTGAGAGTGCCCGGAACTCGCTACATGCCGATGCCGCTGGCATTGCGACCGCACAGCCAGCTGAACAGACTCGTCGGCGTGCTGCGACGACTGGCAACCCCCTGTTGTTCAGACCACACCTGCATAACCAGGAATGGGGTCATGGATTATCACCACGGCCAGCCAGTGCTCAGGGTCGCAGGAGTCGCCTCGGCATCCAGACCGACCTCGAGGATCCCAGTGAGATTGGCCGTGCCATCACTAGCGACAGCGGCCACGGCACGCGCAGGAGGTCACGAAGCCTCTCCGGGCTCCAGGACCTCGCCAGCATGCAATCCCACTCCCGAAGACGCAGCGACGAGATCCGCTACTGGAGGGAGTCCTACGACCCAGGCTTCACGTCCCCCATATCTTCCAACATCCAAGGAGACATCGACGACACCGCCGCCGGGGACCCCAGCGCCCCGGTCAGCCCTACGACCGACCGCGCGCCGAGATCCCCTCCGCAACCGCCCTTCAGCTTCGGTACCGTAAAAGAAGAAGAAGCCGCCGCCGAAGACCCTGCCCCGCAAGAGGAAGTCCCCATCGAGACCCGCGTCGTTGGGCTAGAAGCCCGCACCGCCCATCTCGAGCAGCTCGTGGACAAACTCTCCCGTCTTGTCCCCGGCTTTGACGACGCCGCCCAGCATCACATCGACCTCGATGCCCGGTCGCAAGTCTCCATCGGCGAGGCCGCCACCAACCCCGGCTCACGAGCCTCGCCCCGCGGAGGGCAATCCCCTCGCTTGCCATTCAGCCCTGCCTTTAACCCTGTTGTGCGTGGGGCGTCGAGTTTGCCTATCCTCGGCGGACAGAAGCACTATCATAGCCTTAACAGGGATGAGGTCATCGCCGAGCTGAGGAATGAACTCGAAGCCGAGCGCGCAGCCCGTCAAGTCCTCGAGGCGCAGGTGAAGAAGTTATCGGAGCGGGTGAACACCCTCTCCACGACGATGTTTGCTATGGTTCGGGGGCCGTCCGAGACGAGGCTGCAAGAGAGGTTGGGCCCCCCTGCGCAAGCGGCGAAGGTAGTGCCTATTTCGCCTTTGCCTCTACCCAGGAAGGTCACCGTCCCGAGGCCGGTCAGGCAGATACCCGTTCAGCAACAGCATCAGCAGGAGGAGGCGACGAGGTCGGTATTTGAGAGTAGTGATGAGGACGACGAGACCGACACTGAAGACGAGGGTACCCCGAACACAAAGAGGCCGTATACGCTGTCGCTGTCGACGACAACCGCGTCGAGAGCGGTCGCTAGGGGGGATGGTCGGGAGCAAGAGACGGCGGCGGCGGCGGCGGCGGAGGAGGAGGAGGAGGAGGAGTATCAGACTCCGAAGGAGGAGGCGAGGGTGCCTAGGGGGGCGTTCGGTGAGGTTTTGAGGGATGATTATGATGATGGTGATAACGGGGAGGGGCAAAAGGGGGAAGGGGAGGAGAAGAGGAAGAAAGCGGCGAGGACGCTGAGTTTGAGTCAGCTTACTATGAGAAGGAGGGGTGTTTGATGCCATCAAAGCAAAACATTTTCCCCCCCCCCCCTTCCCCCAGAGATAATAGAAATCATCAGCAATTCTTCCTTAGTGATTAGGGGTTAGGACAGCCTTCACACACAAAAACACACACACAAAGAGAGAGAGAGAGAGAGAGAGAGAGAGAGAGAGACCCACGCGCATGAGCATGCATCATCACGACGACACGTAACCTCACGACTCGCATCCATCCGGAACTGGACATCTCTTTCTCACGAACTCGACTATCTCAATCGATGTTTTTCGGATTGGAATAGCGGCGCTTTGTCCAAGGGTTCGGTCAAAGCAAGAGGCATTTTTTTTTCGGGGTACAAACATCTGTTGGATTTTTGGGACTTGGGATGGGCGGTGTCAAGGTATCTTGATCTATCTTGGTTTCATGGTATGAGGCGTACATCAGGGTAATGGTAGTTTTTGATCGAACATCTGAACACTTTTTGTTTTTTTCGGCGGGGTAGTAATCATCTTTCTTTTGTTGTAGTTTAATTGTACTTGTACATTGGATACCCTGAATTGACTTGACGTTGTTGGATTGGTTCGGTGAGGGGTTGATGAGTAATTTAGGTATATTGTTTTGTGCAACATATACATTCTTGTCTTACTGGAAGTTAACCTGGTGATACACGTTGAGATGTTGGCGAAAAAAAAAAAAAAACACTACGCACTTCTTAACGCTAAACCAACGAATGAGATAGATGATGCCTACCTAAGAAACATTTTCTCATACTCAAGTACGAACTAGTTACCAGAAACCTTCTCAAGCTACAACCCCCTCCCTTCCTAATACTTAAAAGTAACCGTCTTCGTCCTCACCCACTCCGCCAGTCCCGTCGCGGCATTAAACCGGCCATACCCGCTCGCCTTCGCGCCACCATGCGGCAGCGCGCTCTCATCGTGCACAGTCATGCTGTTGATGTGCACAGCACCAGTCTCGATCTCCCTGGCAAACCGCAGACCCCTGCGCAAATCCTCAGTAAACACGGCCGACGTCAGCCCGTACTCGGTATCGTTCGCGATCCGCAGCGCCTCCTCCTCGGTCTCGATCTCGTACACGGCGACGGTAGGACCGAAAGACTCCGTCTTGTAGATATTCATCTCCGGCGTCACGTCCGTGATAACGACAGGACGCATGCGGGTAGGCGTGGACTCGACCGCGTCCGGGTTGCCATACAGCACCCGGGCGCCCTTGGACAGGGCGTCGGCCAGCAGGGACTTGTTCTTGGTGACCGCGGGCGCGTTAATCAAGATGGGCGCGTCCTGCTCGCCGCCAAAAATATGATCAATCGCAGCAACGAGCTTCTTCTCGAACTCGGCGCGCACGTTCTTGTGCACGAGGATGCGCTCCGTCGACATGCAGATCTGGCCCGAGTTGAGGAAGGCGCCCAGAGCACACTGCGCCGCGGCATTGTCCAGGTCGGCATCCTCCCACACAATGGCGGGGGCCTTGCCGCCCAGCTCGAGGAGCACCGGCTTCAGGTGCTCGCCCGCCAGCCGGCCGATGATGCGGCCGACCATGGTGCTGCCGGTAAAGTTGATCTTTTTCACAGCCGGGTGGGCGATCAGCTGCTGGGTGATGGCGGGGGCGTTGGCGGGGGCGTGGAAGAGCAGGTTGAGCACGCCCGCCGGCAGGCCGGCCTCGATGAAGACGGAGCAGAGGGCCCACATGGTGCGCGGGCAGAGCTCGCTCCCTTTGAGGATGGCCGTGTTACCGGCGGCGATGGGGAAGACGACGGAACGTGTGGCGAGGATGTAGGGGGCGTTCCTGGACGAAGTCGTCAGCATGATGACACACGACACACACACACTCACTAGCCGAATGAGGAGAGAGAGAGAGAGAGAGAGAGAGGAGGACTACTCACCAAGGCGCCACGGCCAACACAACCCCCAAACGGCTCCCTCAGCACGATCGCCCCGACCTCGGGATCCTGCGTCGTCGGCATGCTACTCTCCAGACTGGCCACCCGTCCCGCAACATCGATCGTCAGGTCCCTCGACACGCTCACATTCAACTCGGCCCACTGCCTCGGCGCCCCCGTCTCGGTCATCATGTAGCCGATCAGTTCCTCGCGGCGGCGCTCAAAGATCTCTGCCGCGCGCAGGAAGAGGTCGCGGCGTTCGCGGGGCAGCGTCTTGCGCCATGTGGTAAAGGCTTGTTCGGCGGCCGCGACGGCAGCATCCACATCGGCGGGAGTGGCGCTCGCCGCTTTGTGCGCGAAGAGACCGGTCCCCGGGGAGACGACGTCGAAGGTTTGGGAGGAGTCGAGGACTTCGGCGTTGTTGATTAAGAAGGGGACGGTGGTGCCGGGGGGGGCGGGGATCGTGAGGGTTGATGATTGGGACATTTTGGCGTGTATGGAGGGAGGTCTGGGAGTGGCTGAGGGCCGGGGGTATCACAATAAGAAGGGGAACAGAAAGGAAAGATGAAAACAAGTCACTGGTGAAGCACGAACAGAGGGAGGGAGGGGGGGGGGGGGAAAGAGAGAGCAGCAGAAACAGAGAGGAGCAGCTTCGCTCTTCTCAGATGGGGGACCAGCAGCAAGATAAAACCCCCTTCCCGTCAGCACATAGCCCACTCCCCCGGGGGCATTCTCCAGGCCGGAGGTGGGGTGGTGTATACTACACTGTCCGGAGACCTGGAAATTTTCCTCTCTATCTCTACCTAGCAGCGCAGCATTGGTCCAGGTCCAGGCAGCATCCTGAACCCTGATCGGCAAGTGGAGGAGGGAAGCCGGGGGCATGGGATCTGGGATAATGGGACGGGATGGGGGATACGTAGCGCTGCAACTATGCTCAGATCGACCGATGAAGAAGAGCACTGACACAATATAACAGCAGCCACCTGCTATATGTCAGACCGGATGCAATCCAATCCGACGCTGGGGTAGGATTTGACGCGCGTTAAAAACACTGAGATTGGAGCGCGTCTGGAGAACACAAGATCACGGCGTCTGCGGTGAGAGAAAATGTGATCAGCCCGGATCCTTCATTGCTATCCCATCCCGTCTCCTCTTCCGTCAATGTCCCTGAGGACCTATTAGGGTCCCCAGGGACCAGGCGTTGAGGGGTAAGACGGGGCCGCCCTCACAGGGTCTCGTCGCAAATTTAGGACAACCCCCGTGATTGCGGGGTTGGGGGTGGAGATTTGGAGATGCGGAGTGCTACTTCGGTAGGTCTCGGTTACCGAGCGACTTCTGTGGCCCCTCTTTTTCCTTTCCCATGAATCGGGGGCACAGCACATTTTCTTTATGATAAATGTCTCCCTCAGGGACCTTCTTATTTTAGGCTGACACCCATCCCCTTTGACACTTACTCTGGATTTTGACTTAGCTAGGGGCCAGATTTCAACGAAGATCTTCATTCCCAACCCTTCGGCAGTTGTAGTCAGAGCAAGCCCCTGTTTTCAAGAAGGGAGGGGGGAACTGAAGATGCATTCTCCCCTTCACCCTCTCACCCAGGTCAAGCCACAGCGTCAGTCAACAAACTACCCCGGATTTCAGCCACGTGCAGGCCAGCCTTCTAAGTGCCTTTAGGCTGCTGAAGAAAGCTGGCGGCGGGCGAAGTGGGCGCAAACCCCGATCCGATGTCCCCGGGGCTGGGCTACGGGAGACGGGAGTGTATGCATGTGCTAGAGGTTTGCGGATCTGATGTGGGATGGGGATGGATGGGCATGCGCCGACCCGAGACCGAGCGTCAGGGACCGAGTTGGCTTTGAAGGGTGAAGATATCCACTGGGTTAGTACCTTGAGAGGATGATAAAAGAATGAGTTGTCATGGTCCATTTCGAAATGGCCAAACGCTCAAGAAATTCTCAGCTGTTGCGGCCGTCATAAGCAGTTATGATGACCCTCGACTTGGACAGTTTCCGAGCTTTGTGTTAGCCCCCGAAATGCCCCCTCTCTGTAAGTCAGACGCAGGGCGAGCGGAATGAAGTGGGATACGGGGCACGAGAAACTCGCGGGGCCTCTGTTCCTGCCCAATGGCAGAAGAAACATTGACATTGCAGATCCATTTCCTCAGAGTTAGCCCCGGAAATCCCCATTCTCAGCTTTGCGGACGCAGGATGGGATTCCTTCAACGGTTTCTTGCTGTCTGCGATGTCGTCGGAGTCGACGATCGATGGGAAGTTCGGGGTTGGGGTTGGGGTTGGGATTGGAGTTGGGTTTGGGAGATGGTGCGGGGCTGGCGAGCCTGCTTACTTAAGCAGCGGTACCTGTCCAGCTGTTGACAGCCGCCAGCTCTCGGCAAATGAAAACCGAAGATCTCAATCTCGTCTTTTCGACCCGTTGCTTCACCATCAAGAACCGTTTTGGCCACAACCATCGGAACTGTCTTGTGAGATGCTTGTGTTGAGGCGACGTCAAGCTTTGTTTTTTTTTTTTTTTACGTCGTCTAAACAAGCCCCAGAGTTACGTTACAGCGTAACCCGGGGAAAAAAAGCCACTCCAATGCCAGCGGAATACAACCCTCATTCTCAACTTTCCCGGCTGGTTTTAGGCTTTGCTCCACACTCCAAGATGTTGGTAAGATCTGGCCGGCGACACACAGCGCCGGATCCCGGGTGCCAGGATCGACCCGGACCGGATACCATTTGGACCTGAGCTCCGGCGCAGCGTCCGTCTGGTCCTTTTTGCAACTCCACCGTTTTGAAGCGAAGAAGTTGTATCGAATCGAAGTGGAAAGGATCTGAGCCGGATGGGACTTTCATCGTCAAATTCGTCACCAAGCATCCATTAAAAGAACTGCCGCAAATGCGCTCGGGGGAACACAGCATCCGTCGTGTAACTCAGGTACAAAAGTCCCACGACAGCTTACGGTCAGTAACCGGGCAGCGAACGCACAAGCTGTGTGGTATCTGCGTGCTGTCTCTTCGTTTCAAGTCTGACGTGCCACAACCACAGCCAGTCACTATAAACCGCTAAACGTTACGTCCTACACGTACAGACTACTGAAAGGGGTGCGAAACAATTGGCTGGAATGTCCACTGATTGAACTCGCGTTCTGCCATTGTCTGTCCCTCACAGCTCACCGTGTACACAGAGCAGGCGGACGACAGTCAGATCCAATCCCGAGTTCCACTGCTGCAGCTTGTTGCAGAGAGACCCGTGGATTGAAGAAAAAGGAAATGCACAATGCAGATCGGGATGCCCGCTGATCCGTGATCATGATCCACTCGCTGCGTTTCAAGCTTGAACAAGCTAGATCCACGAGCCATTCATTTAACAAAGCCCGTCATACCACTCCCCCGGTTTCTCCGGGAGCCTCTGTGCCGTACCCGTATGATTTAAAAATACCCAGCAGCAAGCAGCGGTTGCCAATCCCTGGGGTACATCCCACAGCACGGCTCGGCTCGGGTAGGTTAGGGTGGTTATACTTGCTCGTTATAGGTACCTGGCCTTGTGTCGAAGTGGCGGGCTGTGTTTGGAGTAAATTGTTTGTTTCGCTCCCTTCCAATCCTTCTCATTCATTCTTTTACTTTTATACTCCGCAACGTCACCGCCAGACCTCCTTTGAGAGGTCTTGGTAACGCTTTTTTTTTAAAAAAAAAAAAACACCAGCCGACCACACAGAGTTGACAGGTTGCCATCCGACCTTAGAGACTCGACCAGAGCCTTGTGTCAGAGGCTCGCTTGGTGGTTGTTGATTGGATTTGGCTACCGCCTGCTCCGCCAGCGTTTGGATTAACATCAAGACCGGACGGCCGCCTGGCTATGCAAAAAGCCGCTGCTACTGCTGCTGCGGTCAAAATCTGTGTGCTGTTCTTCTTTCGTTAATAATACGATCAATGCTGCCGTTTCCCAAGCTACCTGCGGTTTCTGCCTTCTTCACTCTTTTCTACTAACGATAAGCCACCTCAAATCTCATTTCATTTATCTCTTCATCTCCTTTTATCGTCTGTCCCTCATTTATACCACCATCGTTCCTTCGCCCCCCTCCCTAAAATACAAATCATCATGAGATTCTCCCTCCTCGCGGCAGCCGCCGCCCTCCTCTCCCCGGCCTTCGCGGCCCCGCGCGTGGTCAAGGTCGACCCCAAAGACATCAAGCCTCGCCATCCCGGCGGCATACATTTCAAGGTTGCCCAGGTCCACAACGACCATTTTCGGCAGCACGGCAAAGGTCCCAGGGCGCTGGCTAAGGTGTATCAGAAGTACGATGTTAAGATGCCGACTTCTCTTCTGAGGGTTTTGAGGACGATCTATGACGAAATTGAGCACCCCTCCAACGACGATGACCCGTCTGGGTACGCGGCTGGGGATGGTTCTTATGGCGGAGGAGGGGCAGGAGGAGATGACAGCGACACGCCCAGGGTTCCCGACACGGGCGAGGTAACCGCCATCCCGCAGCTGTTCGACGTCGAGTACCTCGCCCCCGTGGAGATTGGCACGCCGCCGCAGACCTTGATGCTCAACTTCGACACGGGGTCGTCCGATCTCTGGGTGTTTAGCAGCGAAACACCCGCACGGTACGTCGCGGGGCAAAAACTGTACCAGATCGAGAACAGCACGACTGCCACGAGGCTCGCGAACCACACCTGGGCAATTCAGTACGGAGATGGGAGCCGGTCGGCGGGAAACGTGTGGCTGGATACGGTCAGTATTGGCGGGATCGCGGTGGACAGGCAGGCTGTTGAGTCCGCGACGAGTGTGAGCAGCTCGTTTACGCGGGATAATGCCTCGTCGGGGATCTTGGGGCTGGCGTTTGATCACTTAAATCAGGTCAGGCCGAATAAGCAGAAGACGTGGTTTTCGAATGCGTTGGACGTATTGGAGATGCCAGTATTCTCGGCCAATTTGAAGAAAGCTGAGCGTAGGTCTCCTTCCTTTGCCCTCCCCCCCCCCTTTTTTTTTTTTTTTTTCCCCTCCGCCGCCCCAAAAAAATCATTCACCTAAATGATGACTAACCCTTAGCGTTGGTAGCTGGTAACTACAACTTCGGCTTCATCGACACCACCGAGTTCCTCGGCCCGCTACACTTCGTCGACGTCAATTCAACCGACGGCTTTTGGAAGTTCGAAGCGACCGGCTTCTCCATCCAAAACGCCAACTCCACCGACAACACCTCCTCTCTCTTCGTCCCCGTCGCCCACACCGCCATCGCTGACACCGGCACCACCCTCCTCCTTTTACCCAGCGCCATAACCCAAGCGTACTACTGGCAAGTCGCCAACGCGACCGACAGCCCCATGCTCGGCGGCTGGGTCTTCCCCTGCGGGACGTACCTCCCCGATCTGACGCTGCATATCGGAACGTATAAGGCGGTCATTCCGGGAGAGCTGATGGTGTTTGCGCCGGTGGATACGGATGATCTTGCGACGGCGACGACGTGCTATGGGGGGATACAGAGCTCGAGCGGGTTCCCATTTGCGATTTACGGGGATGTGTTTTTGAAGGCGCAGTGGACGGTTTTTGATATGGGGGAGGAGAGGTTGGGGTTTGCGGCGAAGCCGATCTAAGGAGCTTTGGGGGATGATAGATTGAAAATTTGGCGAGATATGATCGCCTTGTAATCTATTGATATACAATGAGCATTCCGAAGGCGTGGATAGACTATGCGATGGGTTCACACTGTTTCAGACATGCATGAGTGAGGAGTGACAGGTAGGTTGAAGATTGGCCCAACTCATGGGTGGTCCTCGAAATTGACTGACTCCCAGGTGAACAAGCCAGAGATCTCATCCTAACACGCAACAGGCCCCCGGCACAGTTAACCGCCCACTAGCTGCGCCTTCAATCCTTTTGTTTCTGGAACTGAAGTGTCAAAGAAGGATAAGCGTCGGCGGCCAAAAACGGATCCCATTGTTCCCACTGTTAACGATACCCTTCCGAACGGAGTCGAACGGAATGGATTAACAGAATGTAATTTAGAGCATAGAGCAACGACTATGACGTAAGGGGCACAGCAATGCCGTTGCGACCGAACTGTGTGTTGGGATCGTCATCTAAGACACCGACAGCTTGGCCAACGGCAACAAGCAGCGATGCAAATTCAGACGGCCTAAGTATATAGAAATTCTATAAATATGTACGAACCTTTCGAGGTTTTGCAGCGAATCCTGATTTCCAGATGAGTCGATTGCTCGATTTTGTGAGGAGTCGGACCGTGGACTGCTTCTTGAGTTTGTTGTTGCACTACGCTCATGTTTTCCGTAAGACTATAATGTAACCGAGAATGTGTAGGCTGGTTGTTGGTACTTTGTCAGGACTGGAAGCACGTAACTGGCGACGAAGACGTGGTAACAAACTCAGAGCTATCGAGCTAAAATCCAGCCTTGAAATTACTCAATGTTGAGAGAAGGAGCTGGTGTAGGTCATCCTTACGCTCGTGTCCCGTATCTATCTTTGCGTTGTATTAAAGAATAACCTCTGAGAATTCTTATGGAAGTCCAAGAAAGGGATGTCGTGATGTTGGAGGAATGCTGGCTTTTGAGCTTAGTACGTCGATTCTACCTTGAGGAAGAAGGCAGTACTTAGCAAAGACAGTAGACGGCCTACTGCCGCAAAATATAGAGAACATCTTTCATACCTAATATAGTCCTGTGGCACATGCTCAAACCGAGTATCGCCGCAGTTTCCCATAACATGCACCCATTACTCGTCAGCCGCACACAGTCCAGGCCTCTCTGTTGCCTGACTCTGCTGTCATATCTCTCTCATCTGCCTCTGCACTTTCCCATGTATTATTACTCCATACTTTGTCCTCCTATTTCCACTCCTTGAAACAACAGTTACAGGAATAAAACTCATCACACAGATCTATCACGCAGTTTAAGAACGTTCGAACTTTTTGGCCCAATTCTGGACAGTCATGTGACACGAGATTCACCTCTTTCTTCAAGAGATCAGGGTGAACTTTTCTATTCAAAACTGCCCCATATCCTTTGAGCAGCACCCCCCCCCGGGGAGGAGATTTAATGGGGAGTTTATTTTACGCAAAAAAACGCTAAGCTTCTCCAAACACTTCAGCTGCAAACAGCTTGCAGACAAACCGTGCAAGATTTTCAATGCGGATATCGTTCCATTTGGAGGAGTCGAGGAACACTTGAACGGTGTCCGGGTCCCCTGGGGGAACGAACGCCAGTGATGTGCGCCCATCACGATCCGCTCAGTTCGGATCAACTCAGCCATCACATAACAGAGCTTTAACAACCTCTGTATGGCCATATTGTGCAGCCCAACTCAGCGGTGTTTGGCCATGGTTGTCTTGTCGGTCTGGATCAACTCGGCCATCACATAACAGAGTTTTAACAGCCTCCGTATGGCCATATTGTGCAGCCAAACTCAGCGGTGTTTGGCCATAGTCATCTTGTCGTTCTGGATCAACTCGGCCATCAGATAACAGAGTTTTAACAACTTCAGTATGGCTATACTTTGCAGCATAACTCAGCGGCGTTCGACCTCTATGATCTCGTTGATCAGGATCAATATCCTGGGCCCTAGTCAGGAGCACCTTGACTAGGCCATTGAGCCCGAAGGCACCAACCATGTGAAGTGCATTCCGAGATGGCCTCAAATACTCCGAACTCAGGCTTTGATCATCAAAGAGCCCGGGACGCTCTCTGATCTCGGAAAATCTAGCACAAAGTTGTATCACCATACTGACCCATTCTGATTTTGTCACTAAGTCAAACAGCTGAGGATCGAAGAAGGAGCACGCATATGCATGGTGTCCCCAGTAGGCAACAGCATAGGTGAAGAGAGGTGTTTCAAGTCGTTCACGCGCCTCTTCATACGTCCTGACGGGGCCGCCTGAAAATTCCTTAAACGAAAGATATGATACGCAGGTATTTGCGATATCCAAATCGGCGTTCGGAAACCACCGAGTCCATGTATCCTGGAAATATTCTTGAACTGTGTGGTGGACAAATTGAACGATGCGAGATGATCAGCCAGATTTGCTGAACGGTGTCCAACCAGTTCCATTTACCTACCACCATCAAAACTCGGTCCCCAAACTCTCTCATCGTCAACTCATTCCTATCTCTTTTGAAACTATAGCCGAACAACTCCTGGGAACTCTCCTCCTCCATAAAACAAGCCATGCACGCTAATACACGCTATCTTAGTAAGATTGTTCGCATCCCTCTCCAGCTCCAGCTGTCTCACCACGGAAGAGTTTTCTCAGATGTGCCAGCAGTTCACGAACTTCGTTCATCAACAGCCCCTACTCCTCAGTAACCAGCTTACAATCCCGGCTCCGCTATCCCCCAACATTACTGGAACTTGTGGAAGCAATACCCGGCATGTTAAACGCAAACCCCAATACCTGCAACCCCTCCGAAGCAAAAAGCACTTCCACCGAGGGATGGGTGCTCGGTCTATCCGGCGCCGTTACTGTCCTCAGAAGAGTTTTGATCGTATGGTAGAACTGGAACCGTGGGACTTTCGACGAAGGGTCGGCGTACTTGTCTCTCTCATGAAGTTGATGAGGGCGCCGAGCTGTTCGGGGACGAGCTCATCGTCTTTCAAGGCTAGTCTTCGCTTTGCGTTTCTGTTGAGGAGGACTAGCTCTTTGAGCTTGGCGTCGGCTTAGGCGGTAAGTAGTTTGGGAGGGGTCCCTTCAGAGAGGATGTAGAAGCGCTGGGTGATGCAGTCTTGTCTTTGAATAGTGTGCCGAGTGAGGGTGGAGCATTGCCCGCAGGCGGTGCAACAGGTTTAGTCCTGGAGCTTCTTGGAGAGACCTTTCTTTGTGGGTTTCCCATCTTGCCTGTTGTCTGCTTCTTCGTTTGGAAGCACGGAAGGGATGTACCACCATTTGAGCTCTATGTTTGTGGGCAAGTTTTGGGCTGCATGAAGGGATCATGGTCAACCAATGGAGCTCCGAGACTAAATGGCTTGTCGGCGACGCCCATAATGCCGGCAGAAAATGAAAATAATCCAGTTTCAAACTAAATCTTGGATATCCAGTTCAAACTGAAGGAGGGCAGTGATAAGGAGAAACTATCTTATCAATCATAACCGTTGATGTATAAACACCACGGAGCGTGGAGCCGGCTCGACTGTTGTTAGTTACGAAATGGACACGATGGAGTAGATGAGAACCTTTTCGACCGTTTACGTTTTGAAACAGAGGGAACTTTGCGGGAAGGAATTTTGGTCTGCAGAAAGGCTTTGAAAGAGTTGTTCTGGTAGTGGAAGAAGCAAGAAAAGGGGTAACCACTCATCATAACCCTAACCCTGGCTCTGACCTTCGCCTTACCGTACCTTATCGACTCCTCCACGACGCGAAAGTCTACCCCTACCGTGGCATGACGCGTCTCCCCAACGACCTACGACGACCTTCCAATATACTTATTCACCCCTCCTTCGATTCCCTTGCCGGACATATCCTCCCCTATCGCATATTTACCGTCAAAAATGCTCCGCAGACCCCTAACTGTTCTCTCCATCACAACTGAAGACATCGCCGACTACGAAGACCGTGCGGCGGAACGCACCCGCGCCCGCGAGCTCGAAGCCCTCCAAGAAGCCCATGCGCGCGCACGTCGCGAAGCATTTGCCACCTCCCGTCGGGCCGCGGCAGCCACAGCCGCTGCGGCTGTCTCGACACCCGTCACGTCAGCTACCATCAGCAGTAGCGGAAATGCCCCTGCTGGGGCACCGAGTTTCGTAGCTCGCAGACAGCAGCAGCAGCAACAGCAGCGGATGCTGAGTCCGTCAGAGCATTTTGCTGAGGAGGATGAGGACGAGGACGATGATGAGGAGGTTGAGACGTCGTATTATGCGCGCGCCCAGGCCCAGGCTGCGCAGGTGGGCTTTCTTAGACGGCAGGCGCAGCAGCAGCAGCAGCAGCAGCAGCAGCAGCGGAGAGGAATAGGGCGCTTAGCGCAGCAGCAGGAGCCGGAACCGGAGCCTGAAGAGGGGCAAGAGGAGGAAGGAGGGGAGGAGGAGGAGGAGGTCATGGAAGGAGATGACATGGATATTGATACCACGTCGCATAATATCCAGTACCAACAGCAACAGCATTACCAACATCAGCACCACACCCCCGTCCCCTCCTCAGCAGCAGTCGAAACCCCGCCTCCCACGAACCCCTATAATACCCGACACCACGGCCGTGCTCCGCCTCCAGCTCCATCCCGACGTACGACGAGAGAACGGACTGTGGACAGAGATACAGCCAGTATAGCCACCAACGCTACGACGTCGACTGCTACGACAGTGAGGGAGACGAGGTTGCGAAGTCAGCAACTACAACAGCTACAACAGCAGCAGTTGGGGGAGCCAGCGGGAGCAGCAATGGGGCGTACGACGCGGGCTGTTAGTGGCAGTGCCGCAGCCGCCGCGGCGGTTACGCCGGAGATGAGGACGCAGAGGAGTCGAGAGGAGAGGATCGGAGTTGCGGCGCCTAGGAGGGGGCGGTCGCAGGCTTAATGTTAAGAGTCTGGGTCTATGGGGGATATGGACGGCAAAGTAGAGTGAGTTTGTGCAGAATCTAGTTGAGATATGTCACGGCGTGCTCGGAGAAAGCTGAGCACGGGATATGTTTGGCTATGTGTGATGATGGCTGGATGGCTGGATATGTATGGCTATGTGATGTACACGTGCCGAAGAGGGCTGGGTAAGAGCTTCAGCATAGATCATCCATTGACTCGAAATCTGGCGAGCGGATAATGGACAAAAGAAAGATACCCTATAAAACTGAGAGATAATCATTGCCCAAACTGACGTCTATTTCTCTATTATTAGCAGGTGTCATCACTTGAGCTCCCCATTGGGAGATGAAGCAAGAAAACTCGAGACCAAATCATGCAAAAGAAATATTTGAGGATTTGATCCTCCCCAAAAGTCCTTTCTTCCAGCTCGTTCCTCAGCGATAGGGCTCTCTGTCATGCTCGTTTTTTTTTTTCGCAATAAACCACAGATACAAGACTTCCCCTCTTGACTTCCAACACCTTTTGGTTTTGTTATCTTATCAGCCATCCGCCAGTCCGCTACTAATCAATGCGGCATTTGTCAACAATGTCATCCAGCTCCCACTCTAGATAGAGAATATGTCCCAGCGCAGCCTGAAGCGGAAAGAGGTTTGTGGCTAAATCATAACCCCAGCTATTGCACACCAGTTGTTGTGTAGTAACCTGTTGGCCTCTCTGTGGTCTGCTGATGCCTTTGCCGAAGTTTCCATTACAGCCGCTTGTACTTCCTCCGCTGCCCCCTTATATTACCTGCAGAGGTTCATGAACGACCTGAAGCTGCCAAACAGGCTGTGCCTGAACATTTTCCAGGCCACTTTGACTCTGGAGTCAAGGAGCCAGTGTCAATGTTGCGGACACTCGATGTCACTGATCTCGCACCATCCGCGTCATCGTTGGGGCTCCCATTCGATTCCATCGCTCCATGTGACCGTTTTGGCAAGATTCATCGAGGGTTTTTCCACTAAGATTCCGGTTGGGATCAAACTGGGATCTATTGTTGGCAGGCATGTTGCTTATGGTGTGTGGGAACGTGCCTGCGGGCTCTCACTTTTCGGAAGCTCTAGGTGATGGCGATATTAAGCGGACGAGCAAGCTTAATTACCACACTCTCAAGTGTAATATTATCAGTAATAACACTATTGTGAGCTCTGATGGAATCGGCAGGAATGCCTAATGCCTGAAGGACAGACAAGTCAATCAAAGCAAGGTAAAGACCGAAATGTCCTTGTCGACCTGTAGGTGAGCAGCTCGCTCGGGGGTGTAAGGCACCGCTCCCAAACATACAGGATAGAAATCTTCGGGGGAAAGATGTCAGGGAGAAAGAAGATAGGGGGAGGACCGGCCGTATGGAAGTGTTTATATCTGGTTTTCGCGAAGTACGAGGCCTTCGGAGATGAAGTCACTCGTGCCAGGAAAGAACAGAAACCATGAACGGCCACCACCAATAGAGATCAAGGATGCATCCTGCTTCCTAGGAAGACCTCGTTGGTCGGGAAAACAAAGCGGTGCTAACCTCTTGCGAACTTGTCAGAACCGAGGTTAAGAGTCAAAGAACTCGAGTGCGGAAGCGAGGTTAAGGCAAATATGGGTATTGAAATGAAGAGGACTTGCAGAGAAGGTGCCATTGGAGCTCAGCTTGGAACCTCGGGGTTTGTATCTCTAGTCTAAAGTGTCGTGGAGATCGCGTCTATTCATCTGCACGTTGTCACTCACTTCAACCCCAAAGCTAAACCCGGTTCCATCTCCTTCGCTGGTAGCACGATTCCATTAAAACATCTACTCGATATAACTCAGAGTACACACCAGAGAAACCAAGTGGTGTAGATGATGAGAGAGGCGAGCAGAGCTGTCTAAGTTAACTGCTATAGCCTCGTGGCCTGAAACCAGGCACCTCTACATAGGCCTCTGAAATCTGGTCCAAAGAATTGATTCTATCCAGCATGTAGAAACGTCAGATAGGCTCAAAGACGGCTGGAATGGCTGAAAGGTCGATCAAGCCGCAGGGTGTATGTCTGTGAGGAAGAAAAAAAAAGGTAACCATAGATCCAGGATCAGGGATCTAACACCAAGTCTTCAAACCCCAATCTTAAACCCACAGGCAAAACCCGATCCAACTCACGGAATCCTCGGAAGGATATGATCCCATTCCAATCCCCCATGTCTCCAACAACAAAACAAAGCAGCCCTCGCCCGGCTAGCTCAATCGGTAGAGCGTGAGACTCTTATTTACCCCCCTTAAAGAGAAAAATCTTCAGGGGCGGTGGAGAGGAACACAGATATCTCAAGGTTGTGGGTTCGACCCCCACGTCGGGCTCAATTCCCGGCGCGATTGACGCGTTCTTTTTTTTTTTATTTTCCATAGGTGTGTTTTTTCCTCCCTCTACTTTTCTGGTTACCCAGGTATATAATGAAGACTACTTCTTTTTTTTTTTCCCTTCCATCATTTCTCTCGTTTGTCACGCTTGTGGGAGACCGAAAGGAGAGTAATCCGGATGCCGTCTTAAACCTTAGCTTCATTGGTGCATCTACTACCCTATCATGGACCTGGAAAGCTTTTGTTCAAGCATCACTCAACTTCAGGACAAGAAATGCCTTTCTGTCTTCACAGATCTATCTCGGCTACGGTCTCTACTCATACATTTCAAACAATCAGGAGGAACAAGACAATTTCCCTAACAACCTAACCTCAACATTAACATTACTATGAATGTCATTGGCAATACAGATTAAGAGACGGACTGAACCAACCATAGTCAGCCCACCACTTTTTCGTTTGATTCCCAACACATGATATACCCAGACAGCCATCCATGCCTACCCTCCATTTCCTGACAACCGTTCATGCAGAAGGAGAATAAAAGCATGACACGGCATCATATATGTGCGTGCTTTTCATAACCCGAACACACTTCCATACCGCCCAAAAATCCTGACAAAAACCGCCATTCAAACCGTCCCACCCACAGACCATCCAACCCCCCTTCCCCAAAACACCGCCCAAACACACAGCCGGCCGCCATCATATCGTCAACTGTCATCTGTTTATCCATTCAATTCGTATCGTCTTACATAGCTTCGTCATATCAGATTTTAGAGAGCCAAGCTCTCCCCCTGTTATACCTATGGTATAACCAGTATAAGTTTAGAAGACGTACTATTCCACACGTTAGCATCCCACGAAAACGAAAAAAAAAATATTATAAAACTCCCGGGCCGGGGGGGGTGGGGGGGAAGGGAGGGGAGAGAGGAGGGGAACCTAGAACCTACCGGAATGAACAGATACGGCACTCGCCTCTCATACTCCTTCCACGCCTCACCATACTTCTCCCTGCAGCGTGTAATATCACGCCACGCGCGATGGGCAATCATGACGCAGAAGAACACAGGATAGAACCACGGGAAGGGGCTCTTGAAGCCAGTGATCAGACCCCAGGTCGTCGCAAAGTACACATCACAAGTGTAATGAATCTTGCGCGCCAATCCGTACCAGCCATCGCAGAGGATCTTCTCACCGAGCCCGGTTTCAATAACCTTCGGGTTATGCACCGTCTGCCACGGGACCTGAGGGAAGGTATTGCGCAGGATGAGGGTGCCGCGCTCGATGGCACGGAAGCGGTTCTTCTGGCTGTTGGCCGAGTCCCAAATCCAGTAGACAAAGAGGTAGCTGATGTAGAGCGGGACCAGGAAGTAGGGGCTCCAGCGGTACTCGGACGGGTGGTGGTTCGCCAGGTAGATGGTGCAGTGGCAGTAGCTGAGCGGGACACCGCTCAGGTTCCAGAAGATCAGCATGAAGCCCCACTTCTCGTAGAACATGTCCCAGGAGGTGACGATCAGCTCCTCACCCTTGGAGGTCGCATTCGCGTAGAGGTAGTGCGCCAGCACGAGGAAGCCGACCTCGCCCGAGACGTAACCGTAGCGATCCCACTGGCGCGCGGCAGCGGCCAGGGAGATGAAGAAGAGCATGTACCACGGGATGCGGACCTCGAAGAACATCTTGAAGTCGAGGATGCCGAACATGCGCGGGTTGAGCTCGGCGCCCATGAAGAAGTCGTAGATATGGTTACCCGTCATGCGGTGCTGGGCGCCGCGGACGAAGGCTGAGATGTAGGCGACAATGGAGACCAGGAAGCCCGAGATGATGGAGACGCTCAGCAGAGGGCCGAACTCATCGAGGATGGTGTATAGCGGGAAATAGCCGGTGAAGTGCAGGACACCCGCGAGAGCGATGCTAGCATAGAAGGAGCAGTAGGCCGAGCAGTAGTACTTGAGCTGCTTGCCACCCAGATGCGGTAGGGCCTTACCGTAGGCATAGACACCGGGCATCAGGCAGTAGAAAGCGCCCTGAACGATGAGGAAAGTCCAATAGATGATCCAAGCACGGCGGTGAGGGAACGCGCCGGTGTAGACGCAGTTGAAAAGGTGCTTAGCAAACTCCTCCCAGCTCTGGCCAGGCTCGCGGGTCGGGAAGCGGCCATCATAGTAGATGGCGCCCACCCACATGTACCACATGAGCAACGGGAAGCCGATCATCATGAGGGTAACACCGAAGGGCCCACCAAACTCGTAGCGGCCCGAGTAGTCGATCTTGGGGTCCATGCCCGGCTTCCAGCCGTCGATGGTCCTCTCCTCGGCCTTGGCGGGCTTCTTCTCATCCTCAGACTTGAGCACGGGCTTGGCCTCCTCGACAGGAGTCGCGGGAGGAGTGGGCTCCTCGATGTGCTCGACAAACTTAGGGGCGGCGCGCTTGCGCACCGACTTGGGCTTGGACTCCATAGCGGCAGCGGCGGCGGCGGCGGCGGAAGTTTCGACAGTAGAGGTAGAGGTAGACTCGGCGTCAGACTCGGTTGTGAGAGGGCTCTTGCGACGGGTTGTGCGACGAATGGGCGTCTCGATCATGCCCTCGAAGAGCTCCTTTTTCCTGGGGGGACGAGTCAGTTTTTAAAGGCCAGGTGGCAGGATGGGTGTTCATCGCCAGAGCTTACGGCCCCAACATGAGGGGAAGCAAGCAGCACTGGCGAGAGGGGAGAGCAACTCACCTCGGAGTCTGGCGTAAAGAGTACCTGCCAGTCATGTTGACGACGAGGGTGGCGCGATGTGGGCGCCGTGTTTATATTTCCAAGTACGGATTAAGGGTGAAGGTGAAGCACAGATCAACAGCTCAAGCCTGAAAGCAAAGCATGCCACCTCGGGGAACGGGGAAGACGCCCTTTTGCCGACGGATACTAGTATCCTGATACCCCGTCGCGGGTTACCCTGCTAGGGTCAAGGGGATACCAGGGCTTGGCGAAAAGTGGAAGGATCGCGAAAGGGTTGCCCCGGGAATGAGCAAAGCGGAAAAAAAAAATGGAGGGCGAGGTGGGTGAAAAAAAAAAAAAAGGTGAAGATGGCAGAAAAAGGATCCGGCAGCAATCCACATGGGACAACAAACAAGCACCTTAGCAGCCCGCTGGCTGGCTGGCACACCGGGCACACCCACAGCAACCACGCAGTGATGGCCGGCAGAAGACCCGCTGCTGGGCTGCTGGGCTGTCGCGTGTTGGGCTTGTTCGCACACCGTGCAGGGCGACCAATTCAGCGCTGTGATTGGTCAGTTTTGTTGACAAAATTTGTGGCCCCCCCAGGGTCTTGCGCACACACAACCCACACAAAAACTATGGAGCGGACCCAGGAACCGGCAGCTCCCCCACACAACCAGCCCTGCCCTCGTCAAAGAAAAAACGGGCCGGGAGCACGAAGCAGGGACGCCACACTGTGGCTTCCGGCTGCCGAATACTAGTATTACGTAAGACATGACGCCGTTAGTGTTGAGGAAAGTCAGAAGCTTGGCTCGTCGTCGGGTACGACGTGAAGCGCTAAGACGGGCGTATGTCTTGGACGAACCACACCCTCAAGCGAATGTGATGAGATTGAGATGGTTCCATGTGATGTGTGTTTATTGCGCGGTAAAATTAGAGGTTGAGCTAAACATGGTTACTCTGGGGATAGGGCAAAGTCCGAAGCACGAAGGGACAAGGTGATGAAATCGTGGCAATTTACTTGCAGGATTGGGCCTCAATCACCGTGCACTTGCATGGAGACTTGGACGTTGACAGCTTCAAGACTCTGACGTGTCACCTCCATAGCCTGCGCAGCCCGAGGCCGAGATGAGTTGTGGAGAGAGAACATGAGACTTTAGCAGTGATGATGAATTTGATGGGACACTCATTTTGCATTCATCTGGCATGAAACTTGGAATAGCAAGATAAATGAAAGCAAGCTATCACAACAAGGAAGAGTAGGTATGTAGCATTGGGATGAGACCCCCCTTCACGCACCGCGGATCCGTCCTAATGTATGTACAGGCTGTAGAGGTCTTATCGCAACCTCCAAAACTGATACAAGAAGGACGTCTCACTAGGCCTTGATCGTATCTCAATCACGTCTTCCGAAAAAAAAAACAAAAAAAACTAAAAGCGAAAAAGAAAGAAAAGAAAAAATTGCTTCATCCCCATACACTTCCAACAAACAGAGACTCGGAACCAGTCCCATGTTAACCTGACATGACTATGTATAACCTGGGCAAGCCAACAACATAAACAAATTAACAACAAAGTACCCCTCTAATGTAAAGCCAGCCTGACTAGACTTAACAACTGAAAGGCGATTGAACCCTTCCCTAATGAGAATAAGTAACACCCAACCAAACGGCACCTGAAAAATGCCCCAGTGATAATAGTAGTAGTAGTAGTAGTAGTAGTAGTAGTAGTAGTAGTAGTAGTAATAGCAAAAACACAAAACAAGACTTAGTACGCAATGTCCAGTAATAGTAGTACCAACTTTCCGATCCCAACCCAAACAAGCCAGACCAGACCAGAGACCATTCCAGACCAGCCAAACCATGCCGCCCGCCTTTCTTTCTTTCTTTCTTTCTTTCTTTCTTCCGTCCCAACACGTTTTAAGGGATATGTATGTATGAGTGAATGAAAAAAAAAAAAAGAATACTCGACCAGACTAGTGACCAAACCAGACCGGTCACTCTACCTTAGTAGGGAGGACAGCCAATCATTCAGAAACCTGACTCAACCTGACTCAACTCGCGCCTACCTCCTCCCCCCTTTCCCGACACCCTCTTCCGTCCAACATTCCCATCATCACCAGGACGCGTCGCCTTGAGCGTCCCCTCCCCCTCTTCATCATCCCCAACCGAATGTCCAACTGCACCCAGAACATTAGGCGACGACACCGACGGCACAAGTCCAAACCCTCTATATACAGCGCCTCTCTCGCGCCACCTAAGCTCGCGTCTCCAGCCCTGCGGCCGATCGCCCTATGACCACCGTGAGTTCTCTGACGCGCTGGGTGCCCGACTCACACGCCGTTTGTTCTGGCTATGGTGTTGGCTTATACCACTGGACAAACTAGAACCGGAACCAGAGCCGCTGGTGTGCGTGGTCGTCGAGTCGACACTACTTCCCCGACTACTCGCCACACTTCCCGACGAAGCCTCCCTGCTCCCGACCGAAGAGGAGGGGAGGTACCCGGGCATGAGGCTCGACGTGGGGGTCAGGTTGGTGGGTGAACTCGAGTAGAGACCCGATCCCAACACCCCATTCCCATTGCTGCTCGTCCCCCCACCATTCGCATTCGTAGTCGTAACAGTGACCGATACCGACGACCCAGAGCGCATTCTACTCCCACCCTCACGATCTCTCCCCCCACCAAACGTCATACAGTTCAGATAACTGTTACTATCCTTATAACTCCCGCTCACACTGTCCCTGAGGCTCTGGAGCGAGTCACTCCGTCCGCTCCGCACCCCTGAGACGACACCATTCCCCGTGCTACTGGCAACCGACACGATTGGAACACCACCCGACCCAACCACCAAACTCGCTGCTGATCCTGGCCTCGAAGGGGGCTGCACACCGGTGTACGGCGTGGTCGACCCCCTGCCAAGCCTACTCCTAGATGAGCTCGGCCTAGAGGAAGAAGTCAATTGGGTATCACTTGCGCTCGGTCCAGGGACCGGTATCCCCGGCGAAGTGGTAGGCGGTCCAGGTGTAGGCGGGGTGTCACTAACACGCCGCGGGATGTTGGCGCCCAGTCCTGGAAGGGGAAGCTCGCCGTTGCGCGAACGGGGGCGGTAGAGGGTTGCGTCACGGTCTTGGGCGAGGCCGACGACTGATTTGCGTGGGGTGTGGGTCACGCTGCTGCTACTGCTACTACTGCTGCTGCTATGGTGGTGGTAATGATGATGATGAGGAGGATGATGATGATGATGATGATGATGGCTTGAGGAGTTGGTGGTGGTGGTGGTGGAGGAGAGAGGAGGGAGGGAGGAGGGAGGAGGAGGAGGAGGACGAGGACGAGGAGGTCATGTCAATATAAGCGGATGATGAGGACTGAGTGAGACGATGATGCGGGCCGTGACCGTGGCTATGTCCGTGGTGTGTCGGGGTAGGAGGCATCGACATGGAGAGATGTAGACCCGGAGGGGTGTAGGATGAAGTATTCCTGCGAGCGCTCGACCGAGGGCGGGGAGGGACCCCTGCTGAAGCAGCAACACCCGCGGAGTTAGAAGCACTTGCACTGCTGAGGGCGTCCTGTTGCATCTGGGCAGCGCGGATCAGCTCCGAGGCAAGGTTGCGAACAAGCACAGCCGGATCCTTATCGGCGAGCGCTTGAATATTCTCAAACAGGATACGGAGCTGACGGCTGGTGCCCGAAGCCATAGGCATGTTGTTCGCCTCGCAGCCGTCCATGATGTAGCGCACTGTACGCAGCAGATTGAGCCGGACGACGGCCTTCTTGTGGCTGAGCTTGTGCGCAATGCCGCCATACATCTCGGAGCGTGCGAGCGAGGCCGCGACGGCGGGGCTCAGTCGAAGAACCTTGACCAGCGGTTCGAGGAGGTTCGAGTCGAAGGCATTAGCCCTGGTCGGGCTGAAGCAGGCGACAATGGCCTGAGTGAAGCTGCCGTTCAGGAGATGACTCTCGACCTTGGCCGTCTCCTCCTGTAGCCACACAAAGATGGCATCCAGCGCCGTCGCCTGCCAGTACTGGTCGGCCAGCAGCGATATGTACATATCCAGGCCATTGTTCTGCCACAGATACCGCCTGCCCTTGGGACCGGAATGCGCCATGTCGCACAGGATAGGCAGCACAAACTCCTTCGGAGGCCGTTCGGTCTTCATGATCCTCATAAGCAGCGGGATGATGCCATTGCTGGCCGCGTACTCCTGGCGCTCCTTGCTAAGCCGGCACAGGTTGAACATGGTGTTCAGCACTTGATTCGACACCTCACGGAAGTTCTTGGCGCCCTTCTTCATGGAATGGCTGAGGATGTCGATCAGGAAATCGATCGCGTCGGCCGAGTGCAGCGCATCGAGGACGGTCGAGCACATGGACATGTTCTTGATGAACTTGAGCATGGTGATCTGGTGGGACGGCGTCATCCTCCTGAGGTCCTTGAGCACCGTTTTGAGTACCTGCCTCTCCGCAACAGCCTCCTTGACGTAGGGTTCCGCCTGAGAGAAGAGGTAAAAGATATTGACGATGCGACCTTCCACCAGCTCCGACAGCTCGTCGCGCTCTTCATCCAGGACCTTGTGCAAGATGGCCGCCAGCGGATCAAGGATCTTGCTGCGGGCAAAGATGCGACAGAAGTCGTTCTTGGGCGTCGGGCCCTGAAGCTCAAAGACGTTCCAGATGCCATTGACGCCGATCAGCACCAGGTCTTGCGCTGTCTCGTAGTCCTCGTCGAGGAACTCGACCAGCACGTTGAGACCGCCCGCGCTGACAAACATTTGCAGCGTCAAAGTCGAGGTCTGGTACATCTGCCGCACAAAGGCTGCCGCTTCAAGCCGAATGTCGTTGGAGAACTGCCGGGCCGCAAACTTGGTGATGATGGGGATGCCGCCCACGAAGCAGAGATTCTCCTGCAGCTCGACATCGTCAAGGATGATCTGCCAGGTCAGCATTCTCACAGAAACCCCCTCAGGAAGCTAGCTCGCTTACCGCATTAACAATCTTCAGCAACTGCAGCACCATCCGCTGCCGACTCTTGACCGAGCACGACTCGAGAATCTCCAAAATCGGCAACAGCCCATGGGCACTGATAATCAGCGCCTTAACCTCCGGATGCTCCCACAACAACCCCAACAAATCCTCCGCCACCTTCCCAATGACATCCTCCCCCCCCGTAACCTTCATCGACCTCACCAACTCCTCAACCCTCTCGGCCAACCTCGCATGCCGATCGCGCGCAATATTCGCCTCCAGATCCATCTCATCCCAGCCCGGATCTAGCATGGCAAACGGATCGTCCTCGTCCTCGTCGTCGCCTAGCCACGAGCTGTTCGAGAGCCGCGACAGCACCAACTGCCCTGTACTCACACCACCCGCACTCACACCCACACCAACGCTGCCGGATACAATTACAGCACCGCCGCCAGCGGCTTCCTCAGCGACAGACCCGCGATCGCTACTCTCGAGGTCGGCGTCGGTGAGGGCGTCGCCAGCGACGCCAAAGATGTCTGAAAAATCTTCGTCGCCCTCGTCTTCAGCAAATTTCGTAATTTCGACATTCGATCGCGACCGGCGGGGCGGTTGTTGTTGCTGCTGCTGCTGCTGCTGCTGCTGCTGCTGTTGTTGTTGGCTCAGGTCTTGAGGGGTGAGGAGCGATTGGCGAGATGAGCTGGTGGGTCTGCGACCATTGCCGGAGGAGGCGGAGGAGGACGACTGTGCGGATTTGGTCAGGTCGGATGGGTGGAACAGCTGAGGTTGGTTCTGCCAAAGTCGGTCAGAGTAGAGGAATCTTTCAATCGCTGAATAAAACAGCACTCGCAGGAACTATACCCACCTTAGCTGCCAGACTCAGCCTCCTCTCAAATATGTGGTCGTCCTCGGCCACCAAATCAGAGTAATCCTCGACCGACTGCTCGCGATAGAGCACGTCCGGCCTCGGCGGCAACTCAAATTTCGTACCCAGGGGCTTAACAGGCGACTTCGGCGGCTGCACGCTCGAAGACATTCCTGCCCCACGTTCACTCCTCTGTCTCCTCTGCCCACCATGCGGAGGAGGCGGCGGGGGTGGTGTCGGTGTTTGCTGCGACCGACTACTCGACTCACTCACCCTCTCAGTCTTCCTGCGCAATGGCCGGATCGTCTCCTCTTGCGGATCAACCTCGCTCGACGATGACCAGTGCCCTGCTTGGTTTTGACTCTGACTCTGTCCAGGCGCCTTAATGGTGACTAACTCCCCCTCAAACGCCGAGTCCCAATTATCCGAGTTATCCTCGCGTTGCGCATCAATCGCAAATTGCTTGAGTCGGTCGCCGGAAAGCATGCCGCCGAAATTGTCCTGCCCCTTGACCTGCGGCAGGTGCAGCACGCTTGGGTTGATGGTAGTCGCAAAATCGTTGTCCCAGTTGTCGTCGTCTGACCGCGTCAGCCGTGATGCCCCGTGACCAAAATGTTGGAATTTTCTTTTGTTATTGTGATGATGATGATGATTATGATGATGACGAAAAACCTCCACAAACTCACCAGCAACTTCAGGACCGAATGCCTCTGGGTAGCTGGGGCGCGACCGCGTGGCGAGCGCCAGCTGTGGCCTAGAAGCAGCTGCCAAGGTACCGCGCTGGTGCGGTTGATGGTGTTGGTTGTAGTGATGATGATGATGATGATGATGATGGTGATGGCCGGAGTCGGAACCGGTCGATGCGCGTAGGTTATGTTCGGAGGACTTCAGGGCCTTGTTCCACTGTTTTACTTCCTCGACGGCTTGACTAAAATTTGAGGGTGCCTTAGACACAGGCGCGTCGCTTCTTCGACAGCTCTGCAGCCACGAGTGCTTCAGCAACTTTTTGGCCGAGACTCGCAAATTCGGATCTTTCTGAAAGCATTGCATGAGAAAGTCACGCGCAGCGGGGGACACGCCCTCTGGGAGCGGGGGGTGGTCGTCGTTGACAATGGCGAAGAGCGCGGGCATCGCAGCAAGGTTATGGTACGGGGGCTTTCCCTGTAACAACTCGATCACAGTGCATCCAACACTCCAGATATCTGACGCCGGAGTCGCTCCTGACAACTGAATGATCTCTGGCGCCATCCAGTATGGTGTCCCAACGACCTGGGCCTCCTTGTCTGGGCCAGCTAGCGTGCTCGTGGAAACGCCAAAGTCAGCCAGCTTGACGGTACCATCCTTGGTGGTGAGGATGTTGGCACCCTTGATGTCCCTGTGAATGACACCTTGGTCATGAAGGTACTGAAGACCCTGAAGCACCTGCGTCATGTACAGAGCAACCAAGTTCTCGGGGAACTTGCCGTAGGCTTTGCAGATAGAATGTAGCGAGCCATTCTCGCAATACCTGAGGGTTGGTCAGTGAGCCGACCGTTTCTCTTAAGACAGCGGGGACTTACTCCAGGATGATGTTGAGACAATCGGCCGTCTTGACGAAGCCAATATATTTCACAATGTTGTCATGCTATATTACCCGATTAGTACTTCTCCTTACTACCGTTTTCTCTGTCCGTAGCTGACTCACGTGTAAGTTTTTGAGGAGGTCGATTTCGGCCTGCTCACCGTCAGCACCACTTCACCCATCTCTCTATAAACGCAAACTCACTTCAATCATCCTCAACTCGCTCTTTGGCACATTGTCGAGCCTAATCTGCTTAATCGCAACAGCTTCGCCGGTGCCCCAGTTGAAGGCCTTGTAGACGGAGCCGAAAGCACCCTTCCCTATGCAATCACCGAGCCGCTGTATACAAGGCGCACAAGGCAACAGAAGTGTTGCGCGTGCCTTGGTCAGCCGTGTGTTCTGTCTCACATCTCACAAAACTTGATGGGTACACAGATAGGGGACAAGGAGAATACAGCCGCCCTGTCTCTGACGTTTGGCCCCGGTCCTATCCTGGCGTAATGTCTCGTTCAGACAAAAAAGCCTACGGATGAATTGTGGAGATACATATCCCACACCTCGGGATGGTCAGTAGACCTGCATGTAGGGACGGGCCGAGAGAGCCCATCCCACGATTGCGGGGAAACCCATCATGACATCTGCAAGTGAGACTTGGCTGCCAAAAAGACGAGATCTCTTGTAAGATAAGACCGGGGCCAAGCCAAGCCAGGAACACCGGGGGTAAGGGGAGGGGAGGGGGAGGGGAAGGGGGGGGAGAGAGAGAAACAAAGAAGACTCAATCCGAGCAACAGGGGTCAAAAGGGGCCAAAACGTACATAATCTTTCAAACCCGGATCTTGCACAGCCTTTTCCTGCCTGTGCTGACTATCCCGGCGGGGTGTCCCAGGATGTTTTGCCGCCACGACCGCAGCTCGACCATTGGCTCCTTGGTAAGGTCGCTCCACGGCAGGGCCCCCCGAGGAAGAAGACGGACGTGGAGCCATGATCGGACCTGGCCCTGCCTAGTCGCGGGAATGGGAGAAAAGGGGGGAGGGGGCCGGGGAAAGAGTTAAACGGAGTGAGAGATAGATAGCAAAGTTAGTTTGAGTGGCAAGTCGGGTTAACAGCGTCGACTTCTCTGTCCCGACCCAAGTAGCAGGGCTAGGTAGGTAGCTTTAGCTCTATCTTATCGGCAGTGGTAGTCGTCGACTTCTCTTCCGCAAAGCTCGGTATCCACCACGGCTACCGTAAACCTGGGACTGGAACCGTGTAGTCGTTCTCGGCGATCGAAATGGTGGAGACGAAGTTCGGATATGGGTTCCGTGACCGTCGCAACGGGACCTCAAGTTGTGGTCTTCTTTCAAGAAGCAGTATCCGTACGGATAGCAGGCAGCAGCAACAATGCCAGACGAAGAGGGTTGATAGTGATTCTGGTGGTAGTAGTAAAGGTGCTGCTTTTGCGATCGTTGGGACGGGGGAAGAACCCTTGCGGTCATGTCCCACGGCCGCCGCCCAGTCAGTCAGTCAATCAGTCCGTCCGTCCGTTGGTGCCGTCGTCCTTTTGAGAAGTCTGGTCGGCAGAAAAAGAAAAGAGACAAGCCTATTTTTAGACGGCAAAAAAAAACCTGTCGTATTTTCGCGCGCAGAGGAGACAACGCACAGAAAGGATTCAAGGCTTTTTCGCGAGCTGTGCCGTGGGGACCCGGAAAGTTCAGCTGCGGTGGAGCCGGCGTGACCACGCTTCGAGACTTTCAAAGTCGGTTTTGATATGAAGCTGCTTTCTCTCTCGACTCGACGCCGTTTCAGGACTTCCTCCTCCTCGCAGCTCTTTGCTCGAATGTCTAAGTCTAAGTCGGGGGATTCCCAGCTACCTAGCTGCTTCGCGCTTAGGCTCTTAGCACAGAAGACGGCGATCGACCTGGCGGTACATCGGTCTTGGAGTCGAGCGACGAGGAGTCAGAAAGAGAGAGAGAGAGAGAGAGAGAGAGAGAGAGAGAGAGGTTCGTCGTACGTCTCGTACGACGAAGACGGTAGGGCGGGGGTCGGTGCGTCGTAGTTGTCTATGTCGTCGTACGTACGTACGTACGTACGTACGTACGTACGTAGGTTTACGTACGTACGTTACGGTACGGTACGTACGGTACGGTACGGTACGGTACGGTACGGTACGGTACGGTACGGTACGGTACGGACGGACGGTACGACGACGACGAGAGAGAGAGAGACGAGAGAGAGACGTAGAGAGAGAGAGACGACGAGAGAGAGAGAGAGAGAGACGAGAGAGAGAGAGTAGAGTAGTAGAGAGAGAGAGAGAGAGTAGAGAGAGTAGAGAGNGAGAGNGAGAGAGAGAGAGAGGTTTCGTTCGAGTTCTCTGACGAAATCGAAGGCGGGGGGGTCTGCTCGATTTGCTATGCTGTCGAAGGCCGTACGTTCAGCCTAGTTGTTCGATCTAGCTGAGATCGCGGGGTTGCAGATCGCAGGTCTTAAGACCGAAGAAAGCTAGGCGACGGAAGACAAGAGGATGGTTTGCTTATTGTTGCAAGTCGTCACCATGAAAAGCTTCGGATCGGCTGCAAGAAGCAATGGAATGGAAGCGACAGGTACACGATAAGTCGGTTGTAATAAACACAAACACACACACACACACACGCACACATACAGAAAAAAGAAGGCTACGAGAAAAGAAGGGCAGTCCAGTCCAGTTAGGACAAAAAAGAGGGATGGAAACGCCCCGAAGGTGCAGGCGTTGTGTGCACCTCAAAAGAAGAAAAAAAAAAAACGACTATTGTGTGTTGTGTTGTAAATCCGCGCTTCCTCAATCGAGACTGACTTATAGAGAACAGATCGATCGATCGAATAACCGCAGCGCCCAAACCGGATGAATCTCCCTCTCTTCAAGCTGAGAATGACCTGAAGTAAGGTTGTGGCGTGCCGCGGGGTTCACACTTCAAGTTGGGCTGATGAGGTGTGTGTGCCAGGCGGGCCAGGCAGGTTAGGCGGGACGACAAGAGGTGTGCGGTGGGTGTTACTTAGGTGGGTGTGCAAGCCAAGGCCAAAGCCAAGGTGGGAGGTGTGTGAGGTGGAGCTCCCGCTCAGGTCCAGCAGGCGTGGCCACAGTGGGCAGCGTACGGGAAGTGTGTGCAGTGGTTCAGCAGCAAAAATGCTGGGAATCTAGCCCCGGTTGGGCATGTTGCAGCTGACGACACTGCTGTAGCGAGCGAATCCCAGCGCGGCCCCCCTCCCCGCTCACCTCAGCGACACAGCGAGAAGCGGCAGGCTCACCACCTTCCCTGGCCCCGGACGGCAGCCAATGATGCTGTTGCGACACCAAGAATGGAAGTTCTCAGGTTGCGGTTGCAGGCGAGGATTTTGGCGAAGACACACAACACCGCGGCAATGCCAGGTACCCGTGCCGGGATTGTTTATTTATCTGAGATATTTATCTATTTGATTCAAAGGGTATCTCGTCCCCCGGCTCCCTTTGTCTGTCTTAAAAACATAATCTTGGAAACCCGGGCAACCTCAAGTTCCAATGCCATGTCCAGGTATCCCCTCCTCATCATAATAATCAACCAAGCAAAGACCCTTGTCTCCGCGGTGAGAAGGGGGGGGGGGGGCAGGAGGACAACCCGGGCAGGCCGCTGCACGGAAGCATCATCCCCCCAATTCCATTCTCGGTGGCATTGCCCGATCTGCACCAAACGCGGGGAAGCCTGTGTGTCGTGGCGTCCATTGTAGGAGCCGTACGTACCAAAGCATTGTTGTGCTCTGATGCAGAGCACGAAACACACAAACAACGTAATCAACCGTGCCGACGTGATGATCCGAGTCTCAATCCCCGGTCGATCCAATCCATTGTCTCAAAAGAGCCCGAGTGGTAGCACCCATGTCAGATGAAAGATATTATATTCGTGGCCGCGGATAACCCCGTCCACCATGACATACGTTGGCATATTTACCCTACAAAATCCCCATTCATCATCCCTCTGTAAGTATGTCTCTCTCTTCCCCCCTCCCCCTCCCTACCCCCCCAAAACAAAAAACAATACCCGCACTTTAAAGGAAGTTGGCTTCATACCAACCACCAAGTTACTGATTGATCAACCATTGTTACCTTTACCCCCATGCCTGCCCGACCATAGTCCCCTTCTTCCCAAAGACGAAAAAAAAAAAAAAACCTAACTGACAGAAACCAGCCCTGCGCCAAAACTCCACATGACTCCCGTAGAGAAACCTGACGCCATAGTAGTATCCCCTTGAAAAAAAAAAGGTGAGATCAGACCAAACATTACATGCTTTTTGTCTTATTGTCCAAGCTTCCGTCCCGTTATAGCGAGCAACAAGCAATAAAGCAGGTGATGTAAGCAGATAAACAAAGACAGAAATATTCCATGGCAATCTACAACTGGTTCTCCGACGCCTCGCGGGGCAGGGACCGACTGAGGCCAAACTGCGCCCACCATTCATCGGGAATATCGCCGCGGCTGGCTAGGTTGCGCATGATGCGCTGCATCACGCTGCGACCGCCAACCAGCTCAAACGGATCATCATTGCTGTTGTTGCTACTTTCGCTGCTGCGCGTGCCGGAACCGTTCGGGCGCCGGCTGGTGCGCGAGCCCAAGATATGTGATGAGAAGGGGTTCTGATCCATCTCATCATCGTCATCATCCTCTTCGTCGCCTTCCGTGTCGGAGTTATCACACCCCGACTCGCAGTGTGGATCGAATGCCGGAGCATGCGGCTCTTCAGCCGCCGAATCCGGATCCGAACGGGTGAAGGACGTCCCGACGGAGGCCGATGAGCGAGTGGTGCCGAGCGTGCTCTGGGAGGCTCGCGCAGACGCCGTGGCCGAAGCAAACGAGGACCCGACGCTGGGCGGCTGAGGGTCGGGCGTCAGGGTGGTCAGCAGGGTATCCCACACGCCGTCGCCCTCCGGGCTGAGGCTCCTGTTACGGTCGCCTAGGCCGTCGAGGCGGGTGGTCGCCTCCAGGGCTGAGATCGACACCGACGGCCGTACTATGCTAGGCCGCGAGCGCCGCTCTTGGGGTTCCAGCAGGTGGTCAAGGTCTTCGGTCACATTCCCCGCGTCGTCGTCGTACGAGCGCCTCATGCTGCTGGGCGTGGGCCCGCTACGAATGTTGGTGTGACTGCTGAAGAGGCGAACCGGGGACCTCGTTGCTCTGCGAGGCTGCAGGCATAGGAAAATCAGCTGGTGCAATTGGAAGATAGATCAACAATTGACGTGTGCTTACTGCGTGGTCTGGTGCCAGAGTGGACCGGATGCTGGACACAGCATGGCGCTCGACCGACGGCTGGGGACGAGGAAGAAAGTCGGGCTCAACGGCCATGGTGAGCCAGAGCGATCCGTCATTCAAGTCTCTCCTGCGGTTCAGGCTGCTGCTGGTTCTGGCCCAAGGGAGACCAGATTCATCTGCCATGTAGTCGTCGTCCAGCAAACCAAGCGGGTCACGCGAAGCTGTAACCGCGGACCGCGGCGGCCGCTCTGTTCTCACCGGGCGACCAAAGACATGCTCCAGCGCAAGCACCAGAGATGGGCTGTGGTTGCGATCGCGCGTAGAACGGCTGTCCCGAGAGCGCTGGGCGCGCTCTACGCGCTCCTGCATCAGACGGCGTACCGTGGACCGCCCATACTCAGCGCCCCGTCCTGAAGCAGATTTGTGCGAAGGAAGGTCAGATTCGACCCGCGGCTGATAAAGACTGGTTCGAATGGTTGTTAGCGATGCCCTGTCGACGATACTACTGTAATTGTTTCGAGTCTAAATCAATCGCGCAAACACAAACCGGCAAACTAAGATTGCGGGCCGCGTGTGTCAGGATGGCGCGAAAGCAGAGCTGATCCATGCAAGCAGGACGGACGCGTGTCAGGAACGGCGACTTACGGGAGACCCATCTCGTGCAACTAGTTTAGACCGGAGTCGTCGCGAATATATTTGTCGCGCAGATCGTTGGAGTCAGAAGGGGGGGGAAGAGAAAAAAAAATAACAAAAAGCGTTGAAAGAAAAATTCGACGATCGGCGATGGGAGCTGCAATGGCGCGACTCGGCAGTCGATGGGAATCCGGGGGAGGGAGATGGCGTCAAAGCTTCGAGAGCTTGAGCCTCGCGCGTGTTGGATACGTGGGGTTCGTGGATGAAATTGGGGAGAAAAATGGATGCGGGCGGCGGCGAGGAAGACAGGAGGGCCTTTTGTGACAAGGCAGGGTCCTGGGCCAGTCAGCGCGCAGCCTTGGCGCAGCCCCCTGCACATGCAGATTTCGAGGCATCAACGCGATGAATGCATGACCGTCATGCAGTAAGCAGCAAAAAGTATGCATCAAAAGCAAACATTTTTGCGCATGCAACCATCGGGACGAAGGGTTGCCTGCCCGTAGATCAACCAGGGCGCGCACCCCCAGCGCGCCGCTGCACGACATCAGATGGATTTTTTTTTTTTTTTTAGTGTGACAACGCCCAAAAGCCAAGACGCGCAAAGCCGGCGCCTTCGATCTTGGCATCAAATTGGACGCTCTCCCCCAATCATTGCCGTGAGTCAGGCTGCGTGTGAGATTGTTGTGCAGCCTACAGAGAACTCCTGCATTCTGTTTTGTTTTATTCTTTTTAAGAGAGGGGAGAGACAATTGGAAGAAAAGAAAATCAGAGGAGGGATTCAGGGCGTGAAAAGTTGTCTCATTCGGCAGCAAACCTGCCCCCCCATCCCACACATCCCACCATGATCGACCTCGGCCTGGCGCGCATCGGCCGCCTGGTGCAGCAAACGCCACAGACCTGGAAGGCGATCCATGTCGCCGGGACCAACGGCAAGGGATCCATCTGCGCCTACCTGTCAGCCATGCTCTCAGCGAGCGGGCTCACCCACGCACGCTTTACTTCGCCTCATCTCATCGACCGTTGGGATTGCATCGCCATCAACGGCAAGCCTGTGTCTGAAGCCGTCTTCCGCGATGCTGAGGAAGTTGTCAAGCAGCGTGACCGCGAGGGAAAAGTTGGCGCGACTGAGTTCGAGCTTTTAACGGCGACAGCGTTCGAGCTGTTCCATCGGCATCGGGTCGAGTATGGCGTTGTTGAGGTCGGGCTTGGAGGTCGCTTAGACGCGACCAATATCTTGCAGCAGAAAGCTGTGACGGTCATCGCCAAGATCGGCGTCGACCATCAATCCTTCCTGGGCAACACCATCGAGGAGATTGCGCTCCAAAAAGCGGGCATCATGCACTCTGGCGTGCCCTGCGTCGTCGACCCGAGCAATCAGCCCTCAGTCCTGCGCGTTTTGGAGGAACATGCCCGCGAGGTCGGGGCTTTGCTGCATTTCCCTGTTATCGAGAGCATCGAGGGTACGCTCGCGGCAGAGGGTTTCGAGTTGCACCAGATTCAGAACCTGGCGTGCGCCCATTTAGCTTTCCGGCTAGCCTGCCCCGAGCATGACTATCCCCTGGCGCAGCTCCTCCCCGCGATCAAGGCGACCCAGTGGCCGGGCCGCCTGCAGCATCTGAACCTGCAGAAACTCACTGGCCGGTCGAATCCCGTCCTCCTCGACGGCGCGCACAACTCCCAGTCCGCCGAGGTCCTAGCTGCTTACGTCGATAAGCACTTCCGCGCCAAGGGCAAGCAGCCTGTGACGTGGGTGCTGGCCGCGACGCGGGGTAAGGACGTAGGCGGGATCTTTGGTCTTCTCCTGAAGCCAGGTGACCGGGTTGCTGCCGTGCAGTTTGGCCCCGTCAACGGCATGCCCTGGATCAAGCCCGTCATTCCGGCATCGCTGCTGCAGGTAGCCGTTGAGCAGGGTGTCGAAAAGGCGGCGCTGCATGATGCCGGGGATGATGTCAGGGGCGCCTTGAGCTGGGCGGTCCAGGCTGCTGGGGACGGGCCGGTGGTTATTGCGGGGAGTCTGTATTTGGTTTCGAGTGTGCTGAGGCTATTGAGGGAGACATGATGCTGCGGCCGGTCTCCCGTGGTCAGAAAGGGGGGTCGGAAGGATGGTTGTTGATATGTGACCCCAACGGCCCCGGATCTACCAATCACATGATCGTGACGGCGAATTTCCCCGCAAAAAGCGGTCGAATGATGTTGCTTCAATCCTTTGGTGGCCAAAAAAACTCCATCTGGAGTTAACTCAATTCATTCGACCAAAACACCCAGCTATGGCGCCAAACCACCTCGTGATAGTCTGCGGCCACGCAATTTGGCTCGGCGGCCGGAAGAACGGCTGGGAGGAAGCTGAGTGGCTGATTGAGGGGTACAAGCAGGGTGAAACACCAACCTTCATTGAGCACATCAAGGCTGGTGTGCAAGTGCTGAGTGAGGATGAGAGTGCTGTCTTAGCATTTTCAGGGTGGGCTCATACTGTGCTAGAGCTTCACTTTAGACGCAACGCATATCAGCTAACTTCCACAGCGGCCCAACCCGCAAAGAAACTCCGCTCTCCGAAGCCCGTAGCTACTTCAACCTAGCCGTCGCCAACCTCTTCTTCGGTCTCCTTCCCTCCTCTATCACCGGCGACACTCTCCTCTCGTCAGGCCGCATCCTCCTCGAAGAGCGTGCCCTCGACTCTTACTACAACATCCTCTTCTCGCTGACCCTCTTCTGGCACACCCATCACACGTGGCCCCAGCATCTAACCATAGTCAGTCACGATTTCAAGCGCACGCGACTCGTCGACGGCCATTGCGCAGCCATCGGCTTCCCGCTGGACAAGATCTCCTACATCGGGATCAACCCGCCCGGAATTGACAGCATAGGTTTGGGTGGGCAGGGAGAGAAGGGAGAGGTGATGAAGAAGGGCGTGCAGTTGACGCTGGGGTTGTGGAAGGAGGATCCGCATGGGGTAGGGGAAGAGTTGGCGGGGAAGAGGAGGGCGAGGAATTGTTGGGGAGTGCATCAGCGGCTGTTTGAGACTGAGGAGGAGAGGGTGAGAAGTGGGGTTGAGGTCAGGGTGCTGGGGGATGGGAGTGAGGCGCTTGTGGAAGGGGGTAGGAGGCCTTGGGCTGGTTGAAACACGGGATAGACGAGACGGAAGAATTCGGCATACTGATAGATCTGTTCTTTTTACCTGCGGAACCTGGACAACCCTAAATCTTACTCGGGCTTGCTCCCCTCGCAGCAGATTTCTCAGCCTCAGACATCACCTCCAGCACAAACCTCACCGAATCCCTCACCATGTCTGCACTGAATGAGTGCCCAACGCCTTCATAAACCCTATCATCCACCAGAACACCTTCTTCGGGATACCAGTTGCCCGTAAGCTGCTTGAACCAGGTCAAGAACGGTTCCGCACACCGGTAGGGGACCAACTTGTCGGCGCCTCCTGAGCAAAGCAGGAACTTCTTGCCGCGCAGACGGTCGTGGAGGATCTTGTGGGCCTTAGCGTCCGCGGGCACAGAGGTGTCAGGGACGGGCGAAGTGCCGAAGAAGATACCCTTTGGGTCGTTCTCCAGACAAGATTGCACTAGCGAAGTAGGGAAGTGTTGGCTGCCGAGGAAGGAGGCGCCGCTGTCGACGGTGTAGGTGGAGAGCTTGGTGAGGCGGGCTCGGTCGGTCAGGAGGTCTGGATGTGTGTTAGTGCCTTACTACCGTCTCGCTTGAAAGTTGAAAAGGTGTAGGTAAGAGGGAGGGGGGAAAGTACTCATGTAATCTGGACATCCAACAATCACCACACCTGCCGTCACACGGGGCTCGGCAAACATCGTCTGCCACACGCTGTGTCCACCGAGCGAGACACCTAGAGCAAGGTGCTGATCGGCCTTCTTGCCAGGAGCTTTTTCAGCCAGCAGCGCATCGATCGAGTCCCTGTCCTCATTATCAGCCCCCGGTCCTCACTTTCACTTCACCCCCATCACATTCTGCGTTCCAAGCTGGGTAAACGTACAAAAGCCCCTTCTGATCCCTCACCATCTGCACAATTGACGCAAACATATCCTCGGCATGCGTCTCATTCCCCTCCCTCCATGAATCGTTCTTCTTGGGGTCCGTCAGCCTACTGCCGTGGTTAGGTTGGTCCCACGCAAGCGCAATCAGTCCCCTTTTGCTCTTCGTCTCCTCCTGCCTCTCGTTCCACGCAGAAATGCACCGCGCCGCGATGTCCGCCATGTAAGCACGAGTTTGCAGACGCGGGTGGTGCAGCCAAAGGCAAGAGATGGTTTCAGTGGAGGCCGGGAGCTCCTCTAGGCCGTGAACGTCGACCAGGAGGCTAGAGGGACCCAGGGTGAGGGTCACAACGGAGATCTTGGGGGCTGGGGGCAGGGGGACGGATTCCATTTTGGTGGTATGGGCTTTGAGGATAGACTGGGCAGAGGAAATGATGATGTCGAGAAGGGGTGATGACGAAAAATAGAGATGAGAAGAGATTGATAAGCGGGGATTTATACTCCCAGGTTGGACCTGAGCTATTACAAGACAGTCAATTGAACTCACTCTTTAGCCCTGACAGAGAATGAGATGAAGAGAATGAGAGCTCGAAGATGAGATACCGCGGTCTCTTTCCCGCAGCGGGGTTCTCGGGAGTCGGCGATGCTGGCCCGAGGACCCGGCCCATACTCCGGCCGGCAACCGGGTCCGCTCGGGGTTACGTCAGGGTTAGGGTAAAGCACTCTCTTGGGTAAGGGTTGCTACCTATCGATGAAATAAAAAAAGGGTTAGGGTTGAATCAGCACTCATTTTCTCTGCCTCAATTCTTAGGCACTAATTCAGCTCCAGCACCCCTGCCAGCCAAAAAAAGTTCCCCCGAGCTGGCGCTGGTGGAAAAACTGCGGCGACGAGACGGGCGCCATACAGCTGCACAACCCACCCTTCCTCCTCCTCCTCCTCCTCCACACACTCACACCCTTCCTAGGTTCCCAACGTCAGACAGCACTGGGAGCTTCAAGTCCAGCTTGTCCAGAGAGGGGAACTGCCATTGGACACCCAGAGCCTAGCGTGCCCCCCTTCGCCCTTCCCTCCTTCGGCCCGACCCCGCGATTATATAGGGGAAGTACGGGAACGCCCACCCGTCCCACATCACCACCCTCGCTGCCGCCAGGACACCTGCGATTCTAGGTGCCACACTCCCTCAGATAGTCACCATGATCCGCCCCAGGTTAAGGATATCCTCTGCCGCGCGACCCCGGCTTGCCGTGCCTATCCAGGCGGCCCGCCCATCCTTCGCTCAGCAGATTCGCTCGCGCCACACCCTGCAGCCGTTGCCCTACGAGGAGAAGTTCAACACCGCCGAGAATGGCATTCCCAACTTCTTGTCGGGCCCAGCCTTCAATATCGCCTGGACCCAATACCAGACACATCTGATTGAGAAGTTGAACACCATGATTGCGGGTATGTCCTTGCGGAGTCTCTACTGACCTTGAGCATCTCCCTCCCAACGGATGATACTGATTACCCTTCTCGCCCTCCCCCCTCCCCAGACACCGACTTCGAGGCCCGCCAAGTAAAGGACATCCTTCTCATGACGGCCCGCGAGCCGTCCCAAGCGCCGCTCTTCAACTACGCCAGCATGATCCACAACAATGCCTTCTTCTTCAAGCACCTGTCCCCCGAGCCCGTCGCCATGCCCGAGCACCTCAAGCTTCACCTAGAGCAGTCCTTCGGCTCGATCGAGACCCTCCGCCGCGAGATGGTGTACACCGCGGCGGCCATGTTTGCTCCGGGCTTCGTTTGGCTGGTCAAGTCGCCGCAACTGGGCCTGCCCCACGCCTTCCGCATCCTGACCACCTACGCGGCTGGCTCCCCCTACCCGGCCGCCCACTGGCGTCGCCAGCCGGTCGATATGAACACCGCGGCGGGGATGAACGACGAGCAGGGGCTGGCGACGGCCCAGGGGTACATTGAGAACGCTGCGTTCGGTGCCGGTAAATCGAACCCGGCGGTGGCGAGCAAGCTCAAGTTTGCGCCGGGCGGCACGGACGTGCAGCCGGTGCTGTGCATCAATACGTGGGAGCATGTGTGGCTGTGGGATTACGGTTTCGGTGCGGGCGGCCAGGGCGGTAAGCTGGCTTATGCGGAGGCCTGGTGGAACGCGATTAACTGGGAGATGGTGGCCAATGAGGCGAATATTAAGAGGCACCAGATGACTGGGACGTTGTAAGGGGTTGATGAGGTTTTTGATGAGGGTATTATCGTGAGTGTATAATAGGAGGGGGTTTTCGGGTGTTCCAGTTGTGTAGATCTCTCTCTCTGTACTTGTACAAATAGACTTGTTGCGATGAGGATCTTTACTGGAGGTTGTGGGATTTTGGCTGAGAAAGCTGGGCATTCTATTCAGGGCTCACCTTATGGAACGGGAGTAACTAGGGCATGTATGGATGAGCTTGGAATAAATACTCCAATTCTCCTACTCATTAGGCCATGTCCTTTTTTTTTTTTTTTTGGTTCGAGATGTGTTGTAGACTGATAAATGTTATCTCAAGGCCAATAACCAGCATCACGTGGGAAATATTATATGAGAGATCATGGTTCAAAGAACTGAACTTTTGGTTTTTTTGATCAAGCAACGAAGGTAAAAAGTACACCATCCATCACCAAAACTACCAACCTTGAACTTTACCCCGATATCAGCCCATTGAATCCAGCTATATAACTACAAAATTAAGGAGCGAATACAGTGTGTTTTCAACCACCAAACACTAACTCTTCAACTACCTAAGGTGTATCCCTACTTCAACCATTGTCCAATTCTTTTTTCTTTCATGGAACATCAACCTTCAAAACGAAACTCAAGCCACTATCCCCATAAACATCCAAACAGAAGAGAGGTATCCAAGAAGTCCAAGGAGACGCCACAGTACACCTTGGCACGACGCCAATGCCACGAGGCCACGGATCTTAAGGGAAACCGATTATTAAGAAAAAAAAAAAGGAACTTGAAGCGAGAAGTGAAACATCATGAGGGACATGAGAGAAATGGAGAGGAGGTATCTTCATGGAAATCATAAGAGCTCAAAAGGAAGTAAAAAAAAAAAAAAAAAAAAAAAAAAAAACAAAAACTAGAAAAAAGAACTGATGGGGGGGTAAATATCCAAGAAAAGCAATTCATCACAAAAAAAAAAAAGTTGAGAATCGAAGAGAAAAATAAAAAATCAAGAACCGTGTATTCCCACCTACTCAAATCATATTCCCATTAACACTCACCTCAAATCCCTCCCCCTTCTGCTTCCTCGCCTTAGCCAGCATCAACTCCCGCATCCAATCAATCCTCTCCTCCCTGCTCTTCACTGCGAAATGGTGCGTCTTGCCCGTACCATTCACAGCACCCTCAATCGGCGGCGGTGGCGCCGCCGAGCTCCCACTGCTTTCCTTCGAGTCCTTCTCCTTCGATCCAGGCATGTTCGACTCCCTCTTCTTGAGCAACTTCCCCTCCTTATTATTCTGCGGAATCAACTGGAAGCTGAATGCCGCGACATCCTCCTTCTTATCCTTGTCCTTGTCGCCCCGGAGGTGCATGGCCGCCTTGATGGCCGCGTTCAGTTTGCGGCTAGTAGCCGCCGTGCTGCACGCGATCGCGTAATCGTCAATATCGATGTACTCCAGCGTCTTGGCCGCCATGGCCGCCTCCTTGTCCTTGTGCATCGTCAGGCGCGTGCCTCGCAGCATGAAGAAGTGCTCGTGCCACTCGTGGCGGAGCATCTTGGTCTTGCGCTTGCGCATGAGGCCCGCGTAGGTGATTTCGCCGGAGGCGGACAAGTCGCTGGGCTTGGTGGGCGTGTCGGTGATGGGGGAGAGGCGGCCGTTGATGCGCAGGGCTTTGAGGGGAGATGAGGAAGAAGAGACGGAGGTCGCTGGGGTGCTGTTGCCACCGCCACTGCCGTTGCTGCTGGCGGTGTTGGTCGTGCTGATGCTGCTGATGCTGCCGATGCTGCCTGAGGCAGAGTGGTTCGAGCCGTTGAACAAGGCTTCCACGCTAGAGCCCGGAGGGATGGCCTTCTCCATCGTCGGGCGCTCGGTCTGTGTCCAGGGGTACTGAACCCGAGGAGGCGGCTGCAGGAGCCTGCCTGTTGTCGGGCCGACACGCACACTCTGTGAGCGCTTGATGCCCGTGCCATTGCCCATGCTTGACAGCGAGGTCGTGTTTTGGTGAGCCTCTACTGCGGTAGGCGAGAGCACACCATTCTCATCCAGCGCCGGCATGACAGGGAAGGACGGACGCCGGATGGTGTTGCGAGACGTGCTCCTGGGCTGGTTCGCGCCCACAGCCTGGAAGTTATGACGATAGGTCATATCCGGCGGCACGGACTGCGAAATATCCCTCGACACAGGCGGGATTTGCTGCATGGTGACTGGGACATCCATGTCCGAGAAGGGCGTGCCGAAGCGGTAGACCGGTTGGGTCGGCGTCGGGGTAGCCTCGTCTTCGGTCGGGGTCAGCTCCCGAAAGGAGGGGATGACTTGCGAGGCTGGGCGCGCCGACCGGGGCTGCAGCCCGCCAGTGGGAGATTCTTGACGAGGAGGAGTGATAGTCGGCTTCTGCGGAATGGAAAGCTTGGGGAGGTTCTGAAGCCGGGCGTGTACCGGACCGTGTGGGTGAGGGACCGGGGAGGAGGAGAGGTGATTTCGAAGGGAGGTGTTGGAGGAACCTCGCTCGAAGCGTTGAGCTGCTGCCGCTGCAGATCAAGGTACTGACGGACACGATCCTGGGGGTCCTTAGGCGGGATGGCACGGAGGGTAGCCTCCTTGAGATATTGAATCGTTGTCTTCTCGCCAGGGCCCATGACATCCGACGAGGCTACGACAGAGGGGACGGCATCGGAGACAGGACGAATAGCCTCGTCGACTGGGATGGCCTCAGCCGTCTCTGGGTTACCCGGGTCGCCGGCAATCATGATGATGCCGTTGTCATGAACAAACGGGTGCTCCTTCTTGAACTGCTCGACCATCTTCTGAACCCTCTGATTGCGCGGGCACTTGTCGCCCTTGCTGCACTTATGAGGCTTGGGGATGACCTGCTCAATGCCGACGATGGAGACGGACTCAAGGGGAGTGACGACGTCATTGACCTTGACGCGTGGCCTTCCCCGGCGGGCGCTGCTCTCCTTGCGCTTGATCTCTTTCCTGACCCTCCTATCTGGCTCCTCGTCGATGTCGGTGTCGTGCTGCACTCCCTCCGGCTTCGACTGCGACGGCTTTAGGCCCTTCATCTTGCCGATCTCCCCCCAGATCTGGTGCCTGAGACCAAAGGAGCTGATACCGAGCTCCTTGAGATGCTCCAGCTCAAGCTTCATCAGAATTGGCCCATTGATGTCGTTCTCGACAAACTTCTCGCACACCTCGAGATCGAAGCCCACATTCAACAGATGCTGCGCTACCATCTCGGGCGTCCAGTTTGCCAGCATTGCCGTGTCGAGCTCCTCATCAGTGAACTGGAAGGGTCCCACATCGCGCTTCTTCAGGTTCTTGGGCAGCGTCGTGAAGTGGATGTCCTGCATATGGAAGTCCATGGCGACCGGGTCCTGCGGAGTGATGGGCGAGAGAGTGAGCGCATGCTGCAGCTCGATCGACTGGGCGGAGGACAGTGAGCTGCGAAACAGATGGGGCCCCTTGGGGCCGTCGACTGGAGGTTGCGGCTTCGAGTCGTCATCGATGAGGAAGAGTGGTTGCTTGAGTGATGTCGGGGTAGGAACCTCGTCGTAGGATGAGACTGTAGTGAAGCTGGGTTGTTTTCCAGACTGTATCGTCGCGTCCTGGTAAGTACGTGAGCCCCTCTGAATGGTGGTTTAAGGTCAACGGTCGAACCCTACCGAGCTTATGCTATGCCGGGGCGAGCATTCGCCGTCGTCAAGACCCGCAAAGTCCTCAAAATCGCTGAACACTTCGTCGTCATCTTGCTCATCCCCTTGCTCGATCTCCGTATCCGACTCCATGAACTCTGTGTAGACCGAGCTTGGCCTCCCGGTGTGCTTGGTACGGGGCACGGCAAAGAAGGACTCTGGCAGCAGTCTCGATTTTTGCATCATCTCGGGCTGCGGACGCTCCCTCAGAGCATCAAGCTGTACCTGAACCTGTTGAGGTCAGCGCCGGCTCATCCTGACCCTTGGATATGGAATAGCACACACCATTGTGATATCCAGACTCCTCACTAATACCGACACAAACAAGTACTTTTCTTTTTGTCAGATGTGCCGTTGCCGGCGATGTCTAGGTAGATTATAACACAACGACGGCCCTCCTGGAAACCCCGATATCAACAACAGGAAACAAGATTTCAAATACTACCGGCGGTGAGTCCAGCAGGCAGGTTGAGACCAGCTTTGCATGCCCGCTCGAACCGCTGACGAGGCCAAAACCAGGACAAGAGAGAAGCGGTTATTGTGGGGCGGGCGTGCGGGCGCCTACAGCAAGTTATGTATGGCAGAAAAAGCTGTGATGCGAATGTGGGAGAGGGATGTTGCAAAGAGGCGGTAGAGATGCAGTGTAGGTATGCTATACTTCGGATGCCGGGTAGAAGAAGAAGATGGAGACGGAGATGGGCACCAAGACTAGAACCGGGACGGGAGCAGAGAATGTCGTGGTAACCTTGAAGCACCCCAACTTGAACCTAGCCGACCAGGGAGAGGGTGAAGGCGGCATGCACAAGCGCCGCTGCAAGTCACAGTTCAAGTGATGTGCCGGTGCTTGCTTGTTGTGCCAAAGACGGAGACGGCACAGCAGAACCTGGTCCCGGAATAACCAGGCCAGAACAGACCAGGCCAAGCACAAACACTCGATGGCCAGATGCGGTCTCCTACGCTAGGGCTTTTCGTCCTAGCGTATCCTCAACAATTCAGGCTGCTGGTTGCTACCCAGCCTAGTAGGGATCCCCTGGGCCGACAAAGTCGATCGTGACGGTAACGGGATGGCGACGCCAATGTGTGTGATATTACCAGGCGAGCTGATGAACACGCCGGTGGTTCGACTCTGCTAACGAGCTTCCGCGTTTGGTTGCAAAAGCGTATACGAGAACACAGCGAGAGGTATTGTATATACGGCGTAAGTAGGAGTGTCTGGGAAAAATGTGCGAAAGCAGAGCGAGAAGCCGACAGTACAGTATGTTGTCCTTTCTGCCAGAACTAGTATCCCCACTACCACCTACCCACTCTCAACTACTATACTTGCTTCACCTTCTACCTATAGCTCAGTCTCCCATTCGCTCAGTGCGTATAATAATAGCAGCGTCGAGTGTCTTCGATTGGAACCCCCCCCCCACCACTGAAGGTGCCCTCCATTGTGTGGGCAATCGTCCAATCTCACCGAGCGAGCGCTGGTCCAGCGGCAAGTCGGCCGAAAAGTCGACGGCTGGTTGGGCAGACCCGGCATTGGATAGGGGAGTAGTGCATTCTTCAGGCTGCATGCATGCGCGTGAACGCAGTGCCACGGGGTGCAGGATGGATGGAGGGTGTAAGTCGCAGCGAAGGGATGTCATTTGAAGAGGCTGACAGTGGTGGGGGGGGCGGGGAAAAACTAACTGACAGATGACAGATCTGATTGGACAGTGGTCGCCAAGAGGTGTGAAGCAGTTCCGCATGCTCATTGGATGAAAAATTCCTGAAGTGCTTGCCATTATCGGACTGTCTCGCTCTCTGATTGGTGCATCTGGAAAAAAATCGCTTTGCAGAAATGGCACGGCCTAAGCGCCCATTGGACTGCGCTAGTCCCTTTACCGCCTAGCGCTCCGAGATCCCTGTCGCGGGAAGCAGCCGGGAACTACTTTTGCGCTGCTGACAACTGGCTTGCTGGCTCTCGGCCACTGGTAAGGTTCATGGGCCAAGAAATGCCACGGCTTTCGGCTTTCACTTGGACCCGTTGAACCCAAACCCTCAATGCAAGCTCCTGCACCCTGGCTTCACCTTCGCGCCTCTCAGCTCGGGGCTGGTGATGAAGTCACTAGACCAGACCTGTCCGAGGCAAAGGTCAACACCGACACCGCCTTCTCACCGACATCACTGTCCTTACTTCACCTTGTGTTGCCTTGTCACCAAGCTGATGACTCGCATATGCTGTTTTCACTTGCCTTGTCAAGCCCATGACGACTGCGGCATCGCAGCAAAATAGTGTTGCACTCCGGGCTGAGCAATTTTTTTCACCTCTCTTCGCTTCGAGACAGGCGAGGAACTACTACTGTACGTAGCCTCTAAGTTTAGAGCTCACTCACTGCAAGCTTGACGTGTTCTTGTTAGGTTGGTACCGATAGAGCACAGCATCATACACTACATTTGATCCGATCATCTATGATAAGGATCTTATCGTACATAGGTGCTTACATCCCCTCCAAAAGAGCTGGGTTCTGGACAAGAGCATGCCAATGTTGCACAAAGCTGCCCCTCCCCCACACAGGAACGATATCGGGACCGCATGCATTCCTCTCCGCCGACAGACGCGCATCCACTTCACTTCGGCGAATGGTATCCCGAAGAGCTTCAAAAATGTCCAAAAAACAGGTCAATTGGGCGAGGTTTTGACTAGCTAATGGGCCAATTTGCCCTCCATTGGACAGCACACGAACATTGGACACACTAGTCGGATCGACAAAGCTAAAGCCGCCACATCGCCGTTGTGATCTAGTTTGTCCGATTGCTAGCTATGGGACGGTCCGGCTGACGTTAGGATCCTTTTGTTCGCGGCCGGCAGCGGGGCGGACTTTCCGTCCGGGCATGCCATGTTCATGACCTTTCGTTGTTCTTGGGCAGTGGCTTCAGCCATCGTCACTAGTCCAGCTAGTGTAAGCCTTAACTACCCCGCCTTGCAAATCTTCTCAACGATCAGCTTCACCTCGAGCTGGTTATCAAAGCATGAAACCTGCTTGCTCCTGCATGACCCATTTGCGCCCACATTCTCTCGCTGCTTCTTAGATCGGGCCATTTAGGGTTATTACCATATATCCAATTGCCAGCTTCAACTTCGAGGGCATTTACAGGATTTCTGTTGCGTGGAGCGCTCTCCCACTCCGGGCCTACGCGGCGGTGAGCATTGAGGTCCGCGTCAGGTGATGTTGCAGCAGCTCCTAGCTCCTGACCATTAAGGTCCGGAGTATGCAATGCCCCATGATGCAAGCAGCAGGCAGGCGTACAGATATGGAAACAGGAAGCCAGCTCGTTGACAGATTCAACGATGCTTTTTTGCAATTGCAAGTGGCCGGCTCAACAAAATTTCAGCCCTAAACTTGTTCATGCAAGCACGTGCAGACGACAATGTATGAGTCGTCCAAAGAGACGTCATCTCCACTGGTCCCAATTCCCCTCAGCCCGTGGTCAACGGACCATTGATGCGATACCCCTCACTTTGAGAGTTACGCTGAGGTAAAATTTTTGCTTTAGTTCTGGCTTCCGGGAAAGCCAGATAACGAAACGCAATGTGACGATAGAGTTTTCTATGGGCTGCGGCCTGACCTAGGTGGGAACTCCGAAGCGAAGAGGTAGCGAGATCTGGCGAGTGCTGCACCCCCTGTCGCTCGCAACCTCGCTCGGCATTCACACTTCATGGACAGGGACAGGGCCAGGGCCGCGCAGCAAATCCAAGTCCACCGGCACTTTAACTTGACTTGACAGAGAAGTGCGTGTAACACCTGATTTGGCTAACAACTGGCAACTGTATGTACCCATTGCTGGGAACAGGTCAAAGGGAAGATCATGACCGCTTCCAGTCCTGTCTCTCAGCCGTCGCTGTCGGTGTTTGTTTGGGCCTCTTACACCGTACCTTGTTTACTTGAAGCAACACAATTAGGAAACACGTCTCAGACACACGGGCACCCGCAGGGTCAATCACTGACGCCTCTCTGATCCTGCAAGTTCGGGAGGAACTAGACAAGATCGCAAAGCAATGGGTATATCAGGGTAGGACCGCTTGGGAAGCCAGAAAGGAGCCGAGGAATTCGGACTCGACGCCAAACCGCCCCGAGTGGATGAACTTCCCTCCCTCCGCAAACCTCCACACCCACTCGGAGAGAAGTGAACAAGATAGTGTAGATGTAGATGCATTTCAACGGCCAGCCGCAGCCACGACCCCAATCCAACCCCCTTTCTGGGGGAGAACTACATTTTGCGTAAGTGCTTGCAGTGCTTGACTGCTGTGTTCCATCGGCTATCTGCATCTGGTGGCAAGTTTTTTTTTTTTTTTTCTGCAGTTTCTCTATCTTTCCCTTGCATATTGGACGCTCTCGAACTCGGGAGCGAAATCCTTCCCGCCCGCCTTGAGTCTCCTCGTGCCCGGAGTGAAGAGCTTCGCTCATCAACTCAACCGTTCAATTTCCTGACCGCCAGAAAAGGCAAAAGATAACCGGATGTAATTGGCCTTGATTGTGATGAATCCGCCCCGTTTTTGATGCCCAACGGTCTTGCACGCCTAGTTTTCTGCGCTAGCAATAGGATCATCACTGGCGTCATGCGAAATGACTTCATAGGTTTGATAAAAGTCAAACTTTGAAGGTTAGCGTCATGTCCAGAAACCGTTGAGCTCTCGCCTCACGCTACGAAGTCTGGCAAGGCGTGGTTTGCCAAACACAGTAAGGGCGAATAACTTCATTTCTTGTCTTTTTCAGCTCAGCACATTTCTACGCACTTTGATTCGACAGGACCCGATAGCGCAGTGCAACGGTTGGCTGCCACCAGGGTACCTGAATGGTCTTTACTGGCCTTGACTGACATCATCTCTGCCATGCGATGGCATGCCATGTGCTAGGTGAACCTTTTGACCCTCTGGAAACTCAACGGTGATTTGCTATCTCGAGGTGTTTCACTATTGTCGTGATGGATTTCCATCCCGCACTGGAGCCCGATTTATTCATCTCCGAGGCAAAGCTGCTCACATGACTAAAAAGCCCTGCGACCAGTGAGGTCGCCTGGCCTGATGGTGTGGCCAAGTTGCCCACCCTCACGAATACCTGACTCCATCAACCCACCATGTGCTTCTTGCTAGAAAAAGTGCCGTTCCGAGTTGTGAATGGCTAGCTGGGCTAGGAGCCAAAATGCTTAGCGTAGGATCGGTAGCGATGGAGCTTGTTACTGTCAACAACAACAACAAAAAAAAAAAACAAACGGGTGGCCCTTTTTCAGCCGTTTGCTCAGAGTTGAACACCTGTGTGAAT